TAAATAGCAGTATTGTGATCACATGTATTTATATCGTTTTTTCTTTTTCAAACATATTTTTATATTCAGATCTTATAGAATATTTGACTATATGACCAGGTCAAATATTCCCCCTTGACCAGTCAAAATCTAGTCATTTGACTGGTCAATTGACTGACTGCTAACCCTGGCCAAAATTGATTGTTAAATCTATATATTAGGTCTACTGTTGTTAAACGGCTCATTTTGAGCCGATTTTTAAAAACGGCTAACTCAATATTTTAGCCAGAAAATATTGCCTAAGCCTTGAGATTTTTTAATAGATGTTCAAACCTTTGTTCCTTCTACAAACAAAATCTTCAGTCTTGCTTAATATTATTCAGGATGAAATATTGAGTTAGTCGTTTTTAAAAATCGGCTAAAAAAGAGCCGTTTAACAACACTAATTAGGTCATCAGACATTAAATAGGAATGCTACCCAGATATCAATTTCGCCAGTAAATATCAAGATTTAACTAATAAACTCAATGATTAATATATTGATAAAGCTAAGTTCCTTGTGCGCGATTATTATAAAATAAGAACTTCGAAGAAAAGGATAGGATAGCGAAAAAGTGTATTTCAATAACAAATTTCATAAACCAGATCTAAGTTTATTAATCATTATATAAAATTTTTTTAAGGTTAAAAGAAAATTACAAACTATCATAGTGAATCAATCTTCAACCTATTTTAAAAAAATATTATTCAAATAATTTAATTATAAAAAAGTGATTCAAAATAAATTAGTCATTATTAGCAATTATCGCGATATTAAATTCTCTATCGAGATATATGTTTCGCGATAATAACTTCGCTATAAAATTTTCGCGATTATTGATTCGCGATTAAAGTTTCGCGGTAATGTATTCGCTTTAAAGGTTTCGCGATAAAGATTTCGCTATAAAATTTTCGCGATAAAAGTTTCGCTGATTTGTATTCGCATTAAAGGTTTCGCGATAAAGGTTTCGCTATAAAAAATTCGCGATATTTGTTTCGCGATATTGTATTCGCGGTAATGTATTCGCTATAAAGGTTTCGCGATAAAGGTTTCGCTATAAAAAATTCGCGATATTTGTTTCGCGATATTGCATTCGCGGAATAGTATTCGCTATTATGGATTCGCGATAAAAGTTTCGCTATAAAATCCATTCGCGATAAACGACATTCGCGATAAAAGTTTCGCGAAAAAGTGTTTCACGATAAAAGTTTCGCTGAATTGACATGGAACCAGCAATTATAACATTTATTATTTTAGCAATTCAAATTTTGGTATAGCTATTCATGTTTTGGTAAATATACAAATTGATTCGATGAAATCATTTTCACTATAGATATAATGCTTCCCATTTAGCAATTCAAAACAACTAATCATGTCTCTTAAATTTATGAATTCAAACAAAACGTCCTCCGTACCACTTATTCTGGAATAATTAACGTCACAATTGTAAGTTAAGTCGAAAAGGATATCATAGATTGAAATATGGTAGGGGATATTAATTATCTTGAACGAGAACATAATATAAAAAAATGAATTTACTTTTCAATCTTCTTGTTATATAGGGAGAAAAAAAAATTTTTATTATTTTTTTTTTTTTAAAAAAAAGAAAAACATTATCCATTAGGTGAGATTCTTTTACCTATAATGGAGCACCATGCAAAGTAACATGATAATGTGCATGTAAGTAAAAAATATGTTTATTTATATTTAACTTTATTATCACTATCTTTTCCATTCCACACTTCGTTTATATACATTTTTATAAGTCCAAATTAGAATACAAACGAAAAACAAAAAAGTAAAAATATTATAAAAAAAAGTAAGGTTATGCCGTATAAAAAATAAAGTTATAAAAATAAGGTTACGCAATAAAGTTATAAGATTAGATTTCAAAAAATAATAAAAATTAGATTACAAAAAGTTCAAATGCAAAAAACAAAAAGTAAAATACAGAATTAGATTAGAACGCAACATTTTACTTATATATAATTTGACTAGGATTTGTAGTTAACCTCCTATTATTTGATAACTTAAAATATCTTTTTATTTTTTCTATTGTAATTTAATATCAATTTCTTAAATTTAATTTTATAATTTGTAACTAAATAATAAATCATTTGGAAAAGTGATAGTTTGTTTAAAATTTAAATTAGTATGATCATATTTTCAGCATGGTACTTTAATATGTATTCATGAATTTCATATAATGATAGGTAAATCTGATATTTCCCCTTCATTTGATGATAATTTTGAAAAATTTTCCCAATTAATTCTTATAAACCCCATGCTATTTTTCAGGATCCAAGGAAAAAATTAATTATTCTGAGTTTTCCTGGGCATGGTAAATATTTTTCACAATTAATTTGGACTAAAAAATTTTTTAATTTTAAATATGGGCTAGAAATTGGCCTGAAATCTTTTGAAGATATGGCCAGGCCTGATCACAAACCAAGGCCCATGCAACTTTCATATTCTGATTGTATTTTTAAATGCATTGTGACTTTTTATATATTTTATTTCAGTTCTCAACTACCAAAATTATTATGGTCTTTGGCAGGTTTGAGAAAATTTTCCCAAGTGCGTGGGAATTTTTTTAATATTAGGCATAGGTGTAATATTTAACACAATTTATATGGCCCTCAGGTAAAAGCTAATTTAAATATTATTTTTATTCAAAAAAATAGTATTCACTCTTAGTCTAAATGGGTTGGCCTTGGTCTGAAGTAAGGGTGAGCTGGGTTAAGTTAGAATAAAAAATCGATATTGTTTTTAGAGATTTACCTATCTACAGGTTTGGGGAAAAATTTTAAAAATTACTATGAGTTGGCCAGGTTTTATAATAATTTTTTTATAAAATTATCATGGGTTGGGCTGGGCTTGGAAAATATTTTTATATTGGGCTGGGCTTGGGGAAAATTTTTCAAAATTATTATGAGCTTGGACGCTTGATAATTTTTTTACTATTAATTATGGGACAGACATTGGCCTAAAACACCAAGCCCCATGAAAATCTGATTTTAATTGTATTTTTAAATTCATTATGAATGTTATTTCAGTTCTCAACTACCAAAATTATTATGATCTTTCATTGGGCTTGGAAGAATTTTTCAAAATTATTATGGCTTTTTACTTTGCCTGGGAATTTTTTTAATATTAAATATTAGGTTTAAGTGATCAGTAATATTTAATAAATAATATTGGTATTATCAAGTAAAAGCTTTAAATTTATTCTTACTCAAACAATAGTATTTACACTTAGTTTTAATGGATTGAACCCGGCCTGAAGGGGGCAGGAGGTAAAAAGAATAAAAATTGAATATTATTTTCAAATAACAGGTAACATCTAGCATAAAAGTAAGAAGAAAATTCTCATTCCCCGTCATTTTTGACGGGCTATCTACTAGTAAATATAATGAAGAATAATTGTAAAGTTTTATTAATAGATCTCAATAACCGTTCCTTGAAATTAGTTGGATTATTATAAACATTCTGTGGGGGTAAAATAACCCCTGTTTTTGAATGTGCTTGATTGTTTGTATTATCTAGATCAAATTGATTTGTCACGGGAAAAGATCTAGTTAAATATTTTTTTAAGCTACTGATCATGCAAATTATGAGAAAAGTTAAAATTTGGAAACCAAAAATATTAATATATTTTTTGAAATTATATATAAACCCATATTTTTATTTACCACAATAACTTTGCATCTTGGGCTCACCCCGTTTGCTGTCGAATTTACGCAAACCTTTTGTAATTTATATAAATTATATATTGGTATAGTAGACATCACCATTATACAAACTACTAGAGAAGGATACAATTTGTAGTAAACCGTTTTCCTTATTCGATTGATAGAGGAGTACCGAATCAAACAGATATATCTATCCAGGAAGTAACTTATCTTGATCCAATATCCCATGTTGACTAGTGCCCGAGTAATAATGTATATAAAAAAAAAATAAGTGCCACCTGCAATCTTTTATAGGATAATGCATGATAATAAACGCTTGCCAATACACAACAGTCAATGATAGATTGCAATAGCTGAAATTTATAAAGCAATCGAATTTTAAAAAATAATAAGTGTCACTGATGACACTCTTTACAATTTCTTTTCTGGCATATGAATTAGCCGTTTTTCACAGGCGGCTCATAACGAGTTGTTTAACACCACTACTGGCAAGTCAATATATAGCAATTTTTATAACAATCACACACCCCCTCCCTCCAGGACGAAACCAGTTGGATTCAAAAAAATAAATTCTCTTGCTGGATTCGGACCCATAACTGCAGTATAGCAAAGCCACCCTCTTGTCGACTAGACACAAAGGTTTATCAAAGATTTCGGTGTCAGTATCGAATACAAATAAAAAATAAATAAAACACCGATTGGTTCCGGAATGTAATGTTGTTAAAAATCCCGATTCTGGTCGATTTTAAAAAACGGCCCGATTTAGTTAATAACCAAAATAATATTATGTAATCCAAAATATTTAGCACAAGGCTGACAGAAATGCTTGGACATCTCTTTGCCAAATCACAATGCATACATAATATTATTTTAGCTATAATCTTAATCGGGCCATTTTGTAAAATCGACCCGAATCGGGCTTTTTAATAACATTACCAGAATGTCTTTGATAATAACAAACATTACCCGCTTTTTCTAATTAAATTTGTTTTATAGATTACATCTTATTTTAAGAAATTCGCTCCTTCTAGCACCCTATTTTAAAATCTTATAACACGAAAATTAATCAAATATTTTATAAATCAAATAATAGCATAAATAAAACAAAATTATATATTAGTTTATTTAACCATTTAAATTTAAAATGTGTTTCATGTAGGTGTCTAATAAAATTAATTTTATAAATTTATTTATGTTTCAAGATTAAAATTTAAGTACCTTTCTTTTCTTTTGTTACTATCCCTAGTTCAACCTATTATGAACCTGTCTGCAAACGTAACTGATGTCATCTTATCACTTCAGTAATAACAAATTTATATTAATGTAAATGACCAGTTTTAAAGGCAAATATATACTAATAAAAAGTGAAAATTTTGAAGAGTACCTTAAAGCAAGAGGTTTATTTTCTTAGATTTATTTAATAAGATAATATTTTAGGTGCTGGATTTATGGCTATTAAAATGGCAACTGCCTTAACTCCATATCTTGAGATTAATAATGAAGTGGATATTTGGACGCTTAAAGTGTACACATTCATAAAAACCGTCATTGATATGAAATTTAAATTAGATGAAGAGTTTTATCATACTCGTATGGATGGTACAAAATGCAAAGTAAATTTTGAATTAATTATTTGCTTAAATTTTTATTATAAAAATGTGTTGCTAATTAGTTAAACTTTTTATTTGTATCCTATCCTATTAGTTATAATTTTTTAAATATATTAGTTGTTTATTATAGGTAGTAATCCACATTGATGGTAATAAATTGATTGAGGAAGAGACACCTTGTAATAAACCTGAGGATAAACAAAAAAATATTAGAGAATGGACAGATGACAATCATGTTGTTTTGGTTAGGTTGTATTTTACACATGTATATAAATTTAATCATTTAGATTTTAACCTGCAAAGATGTGGTAGCTAAACGATATTTTGAAAGGATTGAATAGACTTATTTATTTTATCTGCTACAATAATTTATATAATATAACTAGTCAAATTTTATACAAAAACAAAAATATGCTACAATAAATCAAAAAGTAAATCTTTTAAGACCTTTAAAATGGTCAGAGTTTTTGAAACCTTTACCAATGGGTCATTTCCCACCCAACAGCTTATCTAGTCAAATGATTTTTTTAAAAAAATTTAGAAGTTTGTTTTTGATATTTTTACTTATAAATAAATAAAAAAAACTTACTAGTACAGTTTTATTTTATTCAAATTATGTTAAACCGAGTAGTGTATTATTTAAAAATTGGATGGGGGGAGAGGTATTGTTAAATTGGTTGTATAAGACCCTGGGCCTGAATCTAAACAATCAACTTTACCAACTCTGAACACTAGTCTAAATTTGTTTCAATAGTATACATAAATAAATATTATAATCATTAATATATTCATTAAGTGCTGATTATATTCGAATATGTATTATGTGAGATTTAAAAAAGATTAGATATTATATTTTTTTGACATTAATTTTTCTTTTTTCTTAAATAAACATTTTATAAAAATTTATATTAATAAATAAAATTTTACCTTTATAGCATCAACCTCAATTACATTGTTTTCCCCTATAGGTAATTTTTATAATATTAAAAATAAAATTATTTATCTTATAGAAATATAAACTTTCGCTATTAAATTTATATTTTTTCTATCCAAAATATCATAGTCAATAAGATCATGCACTTAATATATAAATTTTAATATTTTAACAAAAACTTGTATTTGAAGAAGCTAACAAATTCACTTCTTGATTATTCCATATCAAATCTTAACTTTACAACTTGACCATGTGAGATTTTGTTAAAATTTTGTAAATTAGTTTATGAAGTGTTATAATTGATGAATCCAAAATATTAGCCTTCGAAAATGATTTTTTATAAATTATGATAACAAAAATATTATATTCACTATATATGACTCATTTTATAGCTCTAAATAAATTCTTCCATGTATCTTGAATAAAATAATTTTTACTTTATAAATATTTTTTGTAATTAATTTTTTTTAAATGTTAGTATAAATAATTTTTTTTTCCAACAGATCAAAAAAAAACTGTTTATATAAAAATTTTCAGAGTGGTGAAAAAAAAGTTAAGTAAGAAAAATATTATTCCCGCTAGATGGCGTTAATATTTAATACCTTAAAACTTAATTTTTGAAATATAAGTCAATCTACATTTTCTATATTCCATAATATAATATTTACTGAATAAATTCGCATGCACAAAAAAATTTCCACTAGATAGAGTAAGTAATTTAAAATAACTAATTATGACTTAAATCATCGATTCATTTTCCCAATAATTTATCAATTCCAGTCGTCAATTTTTACAGAAATTTCAGATATTTTGTAAAAAACAATAAGAACTGTTCGTATAAAATCTTTCAGATTTCAAAAAGAAGTTAAGTAAGAAAAACAAAATTACCATTGGGTGGCGTTAATAATTTAAAATAACTTAAAACTTAACTTTTAAAGGTTAACCTACATTTTAATATTCCATAATATTTATTGAATAAAATCGCATTTTGGCACAAAAATAAAATCACGCCAGATAGCACAAGTAATTTTAAAATAACTTTATTTTTGTAAAATATGTCAGTCGAAGTTTTTACTTATTCTTTAATATTTATAGAATTCTCAGTAAATTTACTTATATTAGAAGTTTAGTTATATTGATTTCCTTAAATTTAATTTATATATGGCCATTTCAGATTATGAGTTCTTCCTGTATGCTTTAGTGTCTAGACTTGTTCTATCTAAAGAAATCGATTGTCTAAATGGAATTTAATATATCGTGCAAATTTTCTAATCATTAATGACTAGTCTCAAAGATTTGGCAATCGCCACAAAAAGTAAAAGATGGCAGTGGAGAATTGCCAATCATTTTAAATGATGTCTCGATATCTTTATATCTCGCAATCCTTATTTTTTATTAAGATAGCCAAATTGCTTCCTATTAGTAACAATTTAACAATCTGATGTATCTCTCAGATTCATACCTAATGACTTCCACTTGATATAATTTTAGGGCCTAGGCAAATTTTGAAAATCCTAATTTAAAATCAGGGTAGGTATCCTCTAAAAATAAATAAATTTCTATTAAATTATTTAGAAGTATTCGTTTTTGCATTTTTCATTTTATATTAGTGAATGCAATATTTTTTCCTGGGCAGTATAGTCTACTATATTTATCGTTTAAATAAAAACTTTTTACAATTTCCACTGCTTTGATTTATTGTTTTACCAGCTTTGGGATTAGTAGTCTAAAGAGTTTCTAGGAATTTTCTTTTTTTATTTTATGTAAGCTCCAATTCTCAGGTAATGGTCGTTTATAATAAATTAACAAATTTTTTTTAATTTTAATTGTTATTTTTTAAAATTATTTTTTTGAGCACTTTTTTTATGAATTATTAAAAATTTGATATTATCGGAAATTTATTCAGCAATATACCATTAGTTTATAATTTATATTAAAGCAAACCCAATATATTTTAAAAATTAGTTCTATTGTACAAAATTTTTACTATTCGGGTAATATTCGTGAATATTAAACTGAAATTATTCGAATATGTAGAATTATAAAAAAAAAAATCCAATATATTAAATTTAAAATAGCAAATAACTCGTTTTGAGCCTTACATTCGACTACTAATCATATCGAAATGGCGTAAGATCTTTAAGGTACTTTTTTAAAAAAAAAATCAGTTATACTTAGGGGAATAATGCAAAATTTTCTAAAAATTAGGGGTAAAAGATATCATACATGGTAAAATAAAATATAGTCAGGGAATAAATTGGCTCTAAAAGGATGTCCAAACATATTTTTTTAAGTTGTGTTTAAAATGCATTCTATTGTTTTTGTATAATAATTCTGAAGAGTTTTTTACACTTTTCTAGCAATATTTTTATTTTATAATTATATATTTATACTAAAATTATAAAAGAAATGTACAATTTTTGCTCTATAGCCAAAACATCTTCTATATTTTAATTGCATAAAATTTAATCGGATATAAAAAAAAATTTAATAATTACTTGGGAAACGAAACTATTTTGGTTTCCTATCTTTTAACACTACAAATATTTTTTTTACCAATTTAAACTTAGCGTATGCCTGGCGGTCTTTAACATATAATTAAAAAAGATACAATTATATAATCTTTAAGGTGGATTTATTTATTGCCAATGTATTATAAACAAATAAGGTAAGAATTTGAAATATTCGTTTTTTTTAAAAAATATATAATATAATAAAATCATAATTCAAGGAAAGTCGAATATTTAAATTAAATAAAAGTAGTTAAAATTTGAAAAAAAATACATTCAATACCTAGTTTGTAAATAATTCATTGTATATAATTAAACTAGCTAAGTTTATATAATAGCATTAACATAAATACAATTTGTAATATACATGCTATGCCTATGCTAAAATAAACACTAATTAAATAATATTTAAAATTTACAAAAAAAAATCCATAAAATGTTGAAATTTTAATTCATACCCGTTAACTAATAAACTCAATCTTCCAAAATTTTAGCTATTAAAAATTAATTTAAACAAACATTTTTTTAATGGATCATTATGGTATTTATATATATATGTTAACGGCAATGTGTTATTTTTTTTTAGCTTTAAATCAATATTTTAGTAAGTTAAATTCAAAAATCTGATTTTACCTGAAATGTATTTAATCATGTTTGGGATGCCAATCCTATCAATTTTAGGCAATCTTGACATGAACCTTTGAACATTATATAATTTATATTTTTCCATAATTTTTTATATAAATTATAAATGGCTTATAGATTAATAGGAAAAATGTCATTCGTAAAATAGGCATTTTAAACATGTTGTAATATATTCCGGGTAAAATCCGATTTTTAAAATTTAAGGAAAAACGTGGTCAAAAAATGATTTGAAGTTGAAAAAATAACACATTGCCGCAAACACATATATATAGGTATATCAATGGCTCTTTTTTAAAAAAAAAAATTACAGCAGTTGTTTGAAATTTGTTTTTGTCAAGTTACTCAAAGTAGCGTCACTGCATATAAAAAGCATTGTATAGTAAGAAAAATCTATCATTTCTAAGAATGTTAGAAAAAGTTGAATGTTGGTAAGATATTTTTTACAGATAGATCGAGACGATATTATACATGATAAAATATAATTAAACTTGAAAATCATTTTGGAGCCAATTATGAGAACGTATATTAATATAATGGAGAATAATTGTAGAGTTTTCTTGATAGATTTAATAGACGTTTCTTGAAAGCATTTGTTGGATAAACATAAATATTCAGTGGTGGTAATTTAACTGAATTAGGAGCTACTAAATGTTGAAAATGGGCAGCAATTTAAGGCATGATTCCTCATCATTGTAAGCGTTTGATTGTTTGTATTCAGATTAATTTAATTTCTTGGGTGAATAGCTCTAGTTAGATATTTTTTTTAAGCTTCTGATCATGGAAATTGCAAGAAAAGTTAAAATTGTGATGTAAACTGATAATATTATTATACTTTTAAATGCTATGTATAAGCCCATGCTTTTCGTCATCTTTATCGTAAATACTTTGCTCTTCGACTGTAGAATTTGAATAAGCTCTTTGTATTTTATATAATTTATATGTTTGTATATTGCATATCACCAATATAGATGTGACTAGAAAAGGATATAATTTGTAATAAACCGTTTTCCTAATACGATTGATAGAGGCGGGTCGAATATAGCACAGGTATTTGTCAGAAAAATAGCATATTTTCATTCAATATCCCACGTTGATTAGTCCTGGAAATAGTAATGTATAATATGATAAGAGATAATTTATTTTTATAAAATTAAATTTAACATAAAATAAGAATTAGGAAAATAATTTTTTCTCAAATAATTTTAAAACTAAATATTTGAAACTCAAACCATAAAATAATTAATTAAGACACTTCAACGCGTCTAAAAATGTTTTACTGGAATATGCTGAAAGTTTAAATTTTAACACGTAAAAAGTGACTTTAATTTTTTACTTTTTTAACTAATAAATTTTTTATTAAAATACTCCTAATAAATGTCAATATCTGTATAAAAAAATTGACAAAATTTATGACAATTCAATATCATGAATTTACATTTTAATTAAATGTGAAGACCTGGGGCAGGTTTTGGCACTTTTATTTACTTTGGATTAACATATTTCAAAAATTTTAAAATTAGATGCGCTATAACACGTACCACGAAAGGCTACATTTTTTAAAATTTATATCAATATAAAGCCCTAAAAGAGCTTTTTCTTTGACAATAATTTCTACCGAAGAAAAACATGTAAAGAATAAAAACTACGTTTATTTTGGAAAATTTGCTTCAATTTTTTTATGGATAATATAATCCCGGTCTCCTCTACCCAAAATATTTCATTAATTTACTAAAAATTATTTACATTAAATATCTTTAATCCTAATAATGATTTTTAAGTTAATATTTTTAGAACAATTCATTAAAAAAAATACAAATCAAATATAGTACATTTTTCCATATTGATAGGAAATGTAAAAAGAATTAGAACGAACCATTGCTATATAAAAGTTTCATATAAACTATTGTTATTTGTTAGCCGCTAATTAATAGTATATCGCAATTAGAAATTTGAAATACTAGACTTTACTTGAGTTATTTACAATATTACTTGACAATTAATTAATTGAAATAAACCTTCCTTGTTACATATAATAGGTAGAAGAATAATATAATATCAATAATCAACTATAAGTATAATATTTGCACTTCATTCTACACGAGTATTTTTGTCTAAGGGGAATTTTTCTCTCTTGAATTCCATAAAATTCATGGATTGCTATAATGAAAACTCACTTATATTAAATTAATTAATAAATAGTATCCTTTCAAATCCTCGTTTAAAAATTTTGCCCTAACCCAATTCAGAATATTTATCCCCAATTTAATCCGAAAATTTATTTTAATTTAATTTGCTTTTTTTTTCTTCTTTTTTTTATTATTAAAATATAATATATATAAAAAAAAAAAATTTAATTTAATTTTAAGAGAAACATAATTGAGTTCCTAGAAATGAACAATAGTTAAATTTGAAAATATCGATTTGTATGTTCTATCTCCAAAGATTTTAAACTCCTTTGATTCAATATTTGCGATTTGATTTTGTGAGCTAAATTTTTTTAAAACGCTAAAGCAAAGAACTGCCCCTTGGTAGACATAGCTATAGGTGAGAATATATATTTTTTTATTCTCTGCTTGAATTAACAGGTTGCTAATAATATTAGTTGGGAAAGATGAGACACATGTATGATCCCAAATAAGGGGTTTGCCCATGGCCCAAGAGGATAGTGGTCAGACCGCCGGGTCTTAAGTCGTAATCTGTTGAGAGGTTACAGGGTTCTAGAAAATTCATGAACTGATTTTTTTTTTTTTAAATAAACATTTTGGTGTTATTCTTGAAAAGAATATTTATCCAAAAAAACCTTAGGGAAAACGAAATGATTTAGAATTCCCGGTCCCAAGCTTTAATCCGACTGATTCTAAGATAACAATCTCTGTTCTTATTCGATTGATCCAAGTTTCGTTGAATCGGATTTAGAATGTTTTCTATCTTCACTACACGATTATATTTAGTTGTTTTACTTGTGAAAACATTTAAAAGGGGTAAATGGAGCTTTGAATTGTTATTTTAAAGAAGAGATTGTTTCAATTTTCCATTCAAACTCTATTTTAAAAAAAATTATAGATAAATTATATTTAATTACTAATTGATATTATATTTTTGATTCTTTTTCACTTAAACTTTTCTCATCGATGTGCTGTTCACGTGAGTATACCTTTCGTAAAATATTTAATGTCAACTATAAAATTTATTTTTTTAAGAGTAGGAATAGGAAACATTGTTTATCATAAAAAGCTCACATAAGTTATGACTAGAAGATTTAGACGATCAAATTTTAATAACAAGACTCGAGTTGTGTTTTTAATCGAAAAATGGACTCCTTAACTGAGTGGATACTTTATCCTGCTACCGCTTAATATGAAAGAATCTTTCAATTGACTAATTTACTCTACCAGTTTAGTTGACTAAGATCACAACGACTACTAAACTAAAACGAAACTTAGTCGACTAAAACGATTAAATTTATATGATAAAAAAAATTTACACATCCATAACTACTGCTCTTTTCTAGGGGTTCAATAATGTTTTTCTTAATTGCGCTCCATCCTTTTTTAAAAAAGCTTTTTTTTTATCTCGTTTTTTATATATATTTTTTTAATTTATTTCCTTCTCATAATATTTAATTACCCGATAGAGCCCTAATTGGGGTGTATACCTTTGAACTTCAATCCATTTTTTCTTTAAAATAATTATTTTTTCTCGCAATAAACATTATATAGATTTTATATATATTAATAGCGAAATATGGTTCGTTCAATATCGCATCATGTCATATTCTACATCAAACTTAGCCTGTTGTGCCAAGCCTTTATATCCCAATAGATAATAAAGGGATAAAAAAAATCTTCAAAAATTATTACTTGCAATCTCCATTTAATTAATTATTTTTATATTTATAGATGTAAAAAAAAAGAAAGGCTACGCATTGCGTAGTGTACTACTTTAAGTTATAATAACAAAAAGAGCTTATTGGGATTTCGAAATTGGGATTTACGATTTCAAAATTGAGATTTGGGATTTCAAAATTGGGTACATTCTAGTTGTGCCAGGAATGACCTATTTTATGTGGGCCTCCTTCTTATTGTGAAGATCAATTTTTTAAAAAAAATATTTTTATAATTTATATTAATTACGTTATTTATTTATACGCAATTAAAAATGAATATAATTTATGTGGGTTAAATTTGAATATGTGCCCATTTATCTTATATGGGGTGTCATCTTACTCATTGTTGATGGCGTTAATACATAATACAAAATAAAATGATAGATTATAGACTAGACTTTAATGGAGGGCAATCCAACGATACAATTGGTGTATTTTTTTGAATTCCATTAAATAAAATTGCAATTTTATAGCAAAAATAGCAAAACACCTACCAAGCCATGCATACCTTGATCTCCACCATTCTTCATGACTCTTTATAATTTATGACTGAGAAAATAATTTTATTTTCAAATTATAATCAAAAAGATATTTTTGTTTTATATGTAGTAATTTTAATACTCGGTACAAACTTATTCAAATCCGGGAAATTTTTATGAAAGTTAATCACAAATTTTTAGAAAAATAAAAGCCTCTTGTTTGGAAAAGGCCTCGGTAAAAATCTACACATAAATGTAAAATGTACATCATATTAATATAAATCTAGAGCGTCATATTGAGTAACTTTTCTTGATTTAAGGAAATCAGCGTTAAAATACTGGGTTCGGCGATTGTAATAATAATTTTTCAAATTAGAATTTTATTTGTTTTAAATATTTAAAATGGTTAATGCTAAATAAAAATATGCGGTATTGAACCAGCAAATATTTGATGCTATCGAGATAACCGGTGTTCATTTGTAATATATTTTTTTAAAAAAGTCATTTTCGAAAAACGTCTATGGCCCAGTCGTTGAATAATCTCAATACGATAGTTCTAGGTTCGAATAAAAATCATGTTTTTTTCTGATACCAACTAGGCGTTCTCTGATCTCTTCTTAGAGGGGACTAATATTTAGTATATTTTAACGAACGCGCGATTCCGTCTCAAAAATATCTTTGAAAAATGGGTTATTATTACAATATAGGTGATAACAGTGTTGAAAGATAACGGTGGAAAGAGATTTTAATTTATAATAATTTTATTCTAAAACTAATATGATACTAAAAATAAATATAAAATAAGGTATATATATATATATATATTTATGTTTTATAAAAAAAACAATTTAAACGAAATACATAGTTAAAGGCTAAAATAACAATTTAAGTTAAATAAAAGTCAATCGATCAACATATACTAATTGTTTAAAACATCTTTTTACTTATCTCAGGTAGTCGGCACTGCTAATATGATATCAGATTTAATGTGCCATTCATTAAACTATATGTAAATAATTTATATATTGGTTTAATTTTTCCCTAGACATTATAATTTATAAGCTTAAAATATTTAAAAAATGTGAAAATGGCAATATACTAAAGTTTACAAAAATTATGACTTACAATTATCCAGCGTCTACATGGCAGAAAATTTGATGGAGGCAACCCCCATCCCAAATCTACCCCTACCCCCCTAAAAAAATTTCGCGGCCTTCGGCCGCGATATTTGCCTTAATCAAGAAAATCTTATATTAAGTCACTATTTATACCCTTACAAACATTCAGACCTGCTTTGGAAAAAAAAATTTACAAACTGATAACTATTGTTACTATCCGTTTTCAATTAACTTATATTTAAGTAGGTAGTGCAATCTTTTCATAATTTGATTGATAATCAATTTATTTTCATAAAAATTAATATAATAGTATTAAATGAGATAACATATTTACATTACTATAAAAAAATATCAAAAATTTAGTAAAAAAATATAAGATGAGTAATTTTAAAGAGGTATAGCTTGATTCTATAATTACTAATACCTTTATATTAAGTAAAAAAAACAAAATGAGTAATTTTAAAGAGGTATAGCTTGATTCTATAAATACTAATGCCTTTATATTAATTAAAAACATTCATATAGATATAACTATTATATAAAAAAAATTTTTATGTAAATATAACTTTTATATAAAATATTAGAATAAAGAATATAGTATATTTTGCACAAGAATTATAAAAACATTTATGTAAATATAACTATTATATAAAATATAAAATGAATAGAGTATATTTTGCACTGGAAATATAAATTTTTTTATGTAAATATAACTTTTATATAAAATATGAGAAAAAAATGAATATAGTTGCACTGGAATTATAAAAACATCTATGTAAATATAAGTTTTATATAAAATATTAAAATAAAATGAATATAATATATTTTGCACTGGAATTATAAAAACATTTATGTAAATATAACTATTATAAAATATTTAAATAAAATGAATATAGTATTATATTATGCACCGGACTAGAATGATATAAAAAACTATTAAATTAAATTTACATTATTAAAAAGGCGTATATAATTAGCTGTGAAAAAGATATAACTTATTTTATTAATAATTTAGTTAATCTTTTAGACGTAGATGCAAATCGCGTTATAATGTCGTCTATTTTAAATCTTTCAAAAACATCAATTTCGCTGGATATTAGAAGTAAATTTTCTAAAAAGGGGTCAGAAATTTTATTCCGCATTCTAGTTTTATTTATTTTGACTTTGCTCATCACTCTTTCGGCTGAACAAGAAGTAGTTGGTAGAGTCAATAAATATTTATATAATAAATATAAATTAGAATAAGAATTTAATTTATTTAAAAGACGATATGGTAGTATAAATGAATATTTTATCCATTTTTTTGTATTAATTATGTTATCGTTATTGATATCTTCCTCGGTTTCATCGTTTACAATACCTTTAATTATATATAATTTTAAATAAAATATCAATAAATTACTTTCATCAATATATAACCCATCATTCTTTTTTATTTTCAAAAGATCCTTGCAATAAATGATTGCTTGTGAATCCAAATATAAAGATCGAAAATCATTATATTCACGAGCAATATCTTGAGCATTTAATTGGTAAGTATGACAAATTTGAGATATTTGCCACCCTTCTATTCTATCATTGGCTATAATTCCAGCTGGTGTAAAAAGAGATATTTGAGATAAAAAATTTAAACAATCATAATTAAATCTTTCATTTAAATCATTAATGATTGTATCAAGCACAGGGAAAAATATTTCCCTTTTATATCTATAATGCTAAATAATAATTTTAAATCTTTTTTTATTCAACTTGTTTTTTTTTTGTTTAACATAATTATTGAATGCTGTTTGATCAAATTTGAATATTGATTTTATATTATGCAATTCCGTTGTAACATTATTCTTTTTCAAATAACTGTTAGATAAGGAATGCAATTTTAAAAAAATATTATCCCCATTAGCTACATTTTAAAATTATTTATAGAAATCGTAACTAATTTTAACCTCTTAGTCTTTGTAATTTATTTTTTGTGTGTTGTATTAATTTAGTTACCATAGCCAAATCATTACCAACTGCCTGCATTTCAATACAAGCCTCATGTGTGCATTTCAATATTTCTTTCAAAATAAATAGACTTAATATGAAATCTTCATCCTTAATTCTTGTTAATAATCCATCGGCAATAGAAGAGGTGCTTGGGTCATTAGAATCTTTTAATTCATTTAATGATGCTATAATATGTTCATAAACATCTAAAAAAATTTCTACAGCTTTATAAGATGATGACCAATTTCTAAAAAAAGATAAGTTACATTAAAAATATTATATTTACCTTGTTGTATTTTTTATTCTTTTAAGAGATTTTTTAGACTTTGTCATTTGATATTTAACAAACACTCCTTGACGTCTTACCCCATTCATGAAATTATATAACTCATCCAATATTCCCATTACCTTTTTCATTTCTATTTTGCATCCACAAACATGAGCAACTACTAAATTGAGCCTATGTGCATGGCACCAAATATATATGGCTTTTGGAGCCTCTTTCAATATTAAAGCCTGCATTCCTTTGTATACTCCTCTCATATTCCCTGCACCATCCATACTTTGCCCAACCATATAATCAAGAGGAAGACCAAGATCTTTGAACTTAGAAAAAACATGTTTCTTTATATTTTCCCCGGTGGTTTCTGATGTTGTAAAAACATGGATGATCCTTTCTACAGGATGTGGATGCGGATCATCTTCTATATATCTTACAAGTAAAGCAATGCATTCTTTTTTAGACACATCATATGTTCCATCTAATATGATGCTATAGGCACAATTCTCTTTAATTTTTTGAATAATACATTTTATTATTTTTATCTTAATGACTTCAATAATTTTTTTCACATGGCCATATGACAATAAATTTATATAAGGTCTTGAAATTTTATCTGATTTTTTTCTCCTCAATTTTTCGTTGTTATCAATGTATGCCCGTAAAGTTGGAACCGTTTTTGCCATTAATTTTATGAGGCACATAAAATTACCTTCATTCGAATTAGTGCCCCAAAAGGCTATGTTACATTTTATAAGGTATATAATGGCATCAATAATATTATGAACTATATTACGATTTTCCATTATTATATCAAGCCTATTTGATAGAAAATGATCTTGAATACGCTTATTTGCAAGCCAAGTCATGTTGGTGTATTCACAATCCTTATGAATAGAAGATGACTCATGTCTCTCTAAGTCACGCTTAAAATTTTTCCAATTATTTACTCCAAGTTGAGTCCAAAAAGTATTGGATTTAGGGCCACCAAACATAAGACAATAAAGACAAAAGACTTTGTCTAAAGTGGTGCTATAGGATAACCAATTTCTTGGTTTGAGGGAACCATCAATATTAACCTTTTTATAATAGGATATATTCATGCTCCTATTTAAAAGTAGAAATAATGGATGCGTAAAAATTAATAAAAATTAAATTTTTTAAAAACCTTTTGTGAGTAACAGGATATTGAAATATATTTGAACATGGCTGACATGGGCCTATGGAAATTATGAAATTAATCAAGATATTTGTCATTCTAAAGAATATGAAATGAAAAGGGTCATTAGGCTCCTTTTTTTATATAATTGAATAATATTTGGGCCTTTAATGTTTGAAATATTTTGGCTTGCATTGGGATTGATAATTGGATGAAAAAAAGATATAATTGGGGAATTTTCAATAACTTTGTGTGTTTGCTAATTATTATTAAAGAGTGTATAGTTTTATTTAAATTAAATACCTCATCATTCAAAATCAGCAGATCACTGGAACTGGGCATTGTATGAGAAGATAATATAATTTGGGAATCTTCAGTAAAAGATTTGTGCTAATTATTAAATAAAGAATAATTAAAATTTGTTTATTCATGAAAATATCTGAATATCCTCATTTATTCCCTTCAAAATTATAAAAGAAATCTTATTTAAATTAAGTACCTCATTATTCAAAATCAGCAGATCACTGGAACTGGGCATTGTATGAGAAGATAATATAATTTGGGAATCTTCAATAAAAGATTCATGCTAATTATTAAATAAAGAGTGGTTAAAATTTGTTTACTTATGAAAATCTTAATTTTAATAAAAATTTTATTCTTAATTAAGATATAGAAAAGTGGAAAATATTTCATAATTTATTCACTTCAGAATTATCAAACAAATCTTATTTAAATTAAGTACCTCATCATTCAAAAATCACCAGATCACTGGAACTGGGCATTGTATGAGATAATATAATTTGGGAATCTTCAGTAAAAGATTTGTGCTACTTATTAAATAAAGAATAATTAAAATTTGTTTATTCATGAAAATATCTGAATATCCTCATTTATTCCCTTCAAAATTATAAAAGAAATCTTATTTAAATTAAGTACCTCATTATTCAAAATCAGCAGATCACTGGAACTGGGCATTGTATGAGAAGATAATATAATTTGGGAATCTTCAATAAAAGATTCATGCTAATTATTAAATAAAGAGTGGTTAAAATTTGTTTACTTATGAAAATCTTAATTTTAATAAAAATTTTATTCTTAATTAAGATATAGAAAAGTGGAAAATATTTCATAATTTATTCACTTCAGAATTATCAAACAAATCTTATTTAAATTAAGTACCTCATCATTCAAAATCACCAGATCACTGGAACTGGGCATTGTATGAGATAATATAATTTGGGAATCTTCAGTAAAAGATTTGAGCTAATTATTAAATAAAGATTAATTAAAATTTGTTCATGAAAATATCTGAATATCCTCATTTATTCCCTTCAAAATTATAAAACAAATCTTATTTAAATTAAGTACCTCATTATTCAAAATCAGCAGATCACTGGAACTGGGCATTGTATGAGATAATATAATTTGGGAATCTTCAATAAAAGATTTGTGCTAATTATTAAATAAAGAGTAGTGAAAATTTTAGGCAAATGACTTATTTTATTCTTAATTATAATATATAAATTTTTTTTTAACAAAAGTTGAAATATTTAAATATTCTTATAATTTATTTCCTTCAAAATTGATAAAGGGCATAATAAAAATGTACCTATATATTAAAAATCTTATCTTTAATAAAAATTAAAAGTATTATGCTCAAATTATAGATGAAGAATTGGTTTCTACTAATTCACAAAATTTAAGGTTATTTTTACTTATATTTATTGTCATGAATTAAAATAATATATATAAAAAATTACTTTTTGGAAGTAAGATGTTATTGATTTTTTTTGTAACTTGGTTTCAACCCCATTTGTGATATTGAATGGAATATCTTTATTTAAGGATACCCAATTATTATCCTTTTTGATAGCTATCTTTGTAAATTTGATATCAGATAACTTGACATGAGGATGTTTATGTTTATAATGGTTATTTATTTTGTCACTTCTTATTTTAGAAGTTTTACAATTAATATAGTCACATTTGACTTTATATATTGTTTTGTTACTTGGCATCTAGAATAAAAATGAAATAAATATTTAGATAATATTTTTTTACTCACTGATGGCCATCAAGAATGATGGAGAATCATAATTTTATCCTTTATTTGACGGTGGATGGCTGAATCTTAAAATTCTCCTATCTTATGAGGTGTGATTCAGAAATTAAATTTATATTTGTTTAAATGAGGGTGTAATTTTAAAATTTTCCAGTGGTTTTACAAAATATATTAAAGAAATATATATTTAGATATTTTAATATATGTGCACAATAAATTTTTATTCATTTGTATTATATTTTTAATCTAAAAAATATATTAAAATCTTTTAAAATAAATTCTTATTCATTTGTATTTGTAATTTATAATCAAAAAAATATATTCTAGACCCTTATTGTTTTTAAATTAAAATTCATAAATATACACTCTATTAACATATTTTATAAAAATAATGAAAAATTTACTGATTCAATCATCATCATATAAAGGAAATTTATTATGCACCCATCATTGAATAAAGAAGAAAATTCTGATTACCAGTCATTCATAATGGACTATCAGCTATTAACTTATATTTTTGATAATGTTTTCTTAAAAGATTCCTATTATATTATATGTAAGCTTAATGCATGGTCACAAAAAATATAATATTTTTTGTTATTTATGCCAAAACAATCATGGATCAATATTTCCTCCATTATACACTTCACAATTGATTTCTTTATTTCTTAGTGTCCAACAATTTTTAGAAATGTATGATGCTTTGAAATCATAGTTTCTTTAAATTAACAATCCTAATAAATTTTGCAAATAATTGAAAACAGGCATATTTGTGATTTGCCCATTCATTTATCTTCAAATAAAGTCTGAGAAATGATATATTTTAATCATTGAAATTAGAGACCTTCACTGGCATTGATTTCTTCATCCAGCCTAGGTCATAAGTAAAAATAATTTTCAGGCCCAGTTCATGTTTAATGGAAATCCAAACCCAAACCACATCATAGGTTTCAAAGATTATTCCCAAGCCATATCCAAAAATTTAATTTATTGTTAACAAAAATAAACAATATTTCAGTATATGGAATCACTTTGTCAATTCATTTAATTGAAATCTTTTCTTAAATCAATAATCAAATGAGAGGAATAGATTATCTGTTCATTCTCCCAAGATTTCTATAAATATTTAGAAAAAAGGCCAAATATATTATGGAAAATTTGATGTTATATAAAATTTATCTAATAATGAAATAAAAAATTTATCAATTCTTTTAACAAATTTTTTATCACACAATGGTTTTCACCTCTCACTTATAATTTTGTATATAATTTACACTTACCTCAAAGAATCATTTATCATAAATAGAAATCAATTATGGGTCCAACCTGATTGCCTCACAAAAATGTGGTAATATTTACCCCATTGAAAATGATTATTTAAAAAATTATTAGCAAAAATAATTGCCATGGTTCAAAACCCAGATAACTTATTAAGTATACATATTAAGATTAAATAAAAATAGCTTCATTCTTTATTATATTTATTTATCTATCATCAAATTAAGGAAAATGCAATTATATGCTTAAAAAATTACCTTTTTAAAATCCAAAAATGTTTCTTTATATTGTTAATTGAGTAGGATTATCTTATCATAAAAGGGATTCTTTATTCAAAAGGTCCTTATTATAAAAAAATATATATTGATAATTTAAAATTGATACTGTGAAAATCTAAATCCCATTATGTAAATGAATTTTCTAAAAATTTAAAAAAATAAATATAGTGTATAATATTTATAAATTGACAGATATCTTTTCTTTAATTGACATTTTTCAGAAAATCAACGATAATCATATCGATTATTGGATTTAAAAATATCATAATACAAGTCAAAAATTACCCTCCAAAAATCAATACCTACCCCCAAAAACAAATGCCTACCCCCCAAAAATCAATATCTACCCCCCAAAATTAATACCTACCCCCCAAAATGCCAATATTTTTTGGAGGCATTTGTCTCCTACCCCCCCCCCGGCCATGTAGACACTGATTCAATTATCAATCAAATGTGATAGGTAATTTTAAAACAATTCGAATAAATTAAAATTTTTGCAATATAGTAGTAATAACTTACATATTATTTTATAAGCATACAATCATGAGGCTCGAACCGGTTCAGAGACATTTTAGAGGTTCGGTTGTGGTTCGGCTAAAATTTTTTTTAGCGGTTTAGGTTCGGTTTAGATTGGATGAAAATACCGGTTTTCGCGGTTTAATGGTTCGGTTCAGGCTCGGTTTGGATCCCTCTATAAAACTAATAGAACTTCCAGTTAATACCAAACACACACAGGTAAATAATGAATCTCCAGAATAATTTATCTTTATCAAAAAAATACCAACAATAAAACACATCCCATCTAGTGTTAGTTACCAGATCACTGACCTCCTTACTAAATTATTTGATAATATTAACAAAGACTTTTCAAATTTAAATAATTGGAATAATCACTTCACATTCCCTTTCAAATGCCTCTGCATATCAACTAACGGCAATTTTTCCCAGTCCACATACCTTTTTAAAAATTTTACGGAAAATATTTAAAATAATAACAAACAAATACCGCGAATCTATATTTCTTAAACAAAAGCTTCAACTTGAAACTTTTAAACATAATTATTCCTGTTTTTTAGGAACACACTCATTACTTAATTAAGCCTTTTTATAGCCTTCTATACTTATATATATATTTATTTTTATTTAGTAATTTTATATATTTTTATAAATAGTTAGTTATTATAATTTTTAAATTTATATGATGTGTAATAAAATTTTTTATGTATTATAAACATATTAATTAAATGATATCATAATTTAAATAATTGAATGAATTTGAATAAAATTTTAAAAATAAAAATAAAATATAATAAATGATTTAGTTTTTTGCAAATTTTGGATAAAATAGAAGAATATAAAAAAATTGCGTTTTGTTGAATAGTAAAAATAGATATATTATTCCAATTATCTTTTAATAATAGCAACCACTTGCCTCGAATTTTTACAAGGGGAGATAATGAATAGACATTAGGGTGTAGGCTATGGTAGAATAAAGCAAAGTTAATAAATTTTTAAATATAAATGATCAAATAATTGGTGTAAGGTCTAATTTATTAATATTTATTTATTTTAATTTTATGCTGATTTAAATTTTAAAACCATTTATTCATAAATAAAAATATGTAACGAAAATTTCATATTTGGCCTTTTTTTTAAAATTATTGTATTGGTATTTTGGTATATATATTTTTTTTTGTAAATGTATTATATGTATTTTATCATGCGCAATAATCCGATTTGTTACCCTTAGCGCATTGATTTGTTTTTGGGGTTATGAGAATGAGAATCATCGTGATCAGTTTTTGTATATATTTTGAAAAAGAAATTTCGTAAAAATAATTAATACTTTTTTGTGTTTAAAAGAAAAAAATAAAGAATTTAATCTTTTTGTTTATATTTTGTTTTGGAAGTTAAGAAGTTATATTAAGAATTCATAATATTCGGAGGGAAGTAATTCAGTAGATTGGCACAACGTAAAAGAAAATATGACTTATTGCCAATTAGATTTATGGGAAACTCAGTGAATAATATTTTAAAAAATTCCTTTTCTTACCTGATCTGTATTAGAATCAGGTATAACCGCATAAAATAAAGGCCCACAGTTTTCGTGGAATGGGAGGGTGTTTTAAAATTAGCATGCATATTGTTATATCTCATAAAGATTGTTTATAATATATTCTAAAATGTTATTGTTTGGAATCTAATGTTATAAGAATATTATAGGTTTTAAATTCTATAAACTTAAAAGGTTAATTGGATTAAATAATTAATTATATTATCCTTACAAGGTATATATAGACAAAAATTAATAATAAAGATTGTCAATGACCATATATAGTAGTAGATTCAATGAATACAAATTGGCGACGATTGTGGCATATGGGTTATGGGTCAAGTAAATTAATAGAATTTGGAAATTACTTATTAAAAATAAAATATATTTAAATTTTAGAAATAATTTATGATGTCACAAAGGTATCCACAAACGAATTTCAAAAAGAAGAAACCTCCCTCTTTGGTTATATTTCATTAAAAGAATATTCAACAAACAGACGCGACATTAAATTAGTAGCTTATGGGGAAGTAAACATAAAATCCAATATTAAAAAATATTATTTCCGAAGAAAATAAGTGACATTATGGGCAATATATAAAATAACTATGTAACTTTTTAAAGACGAAGGAACATTTTTGCATTAAGAATAGAGTTTATTAGAACCATTCAGAAAACTGGATGAACCATTTAACGAAAATAAAAGAATTAACTCGTAGATGCGAATTTGAAGACAGTATAGAAATATTTTACGTGATCAATTAATTGCGGAAAGATATCTCAATTAAATCAAAAAATATGATTGAGATATCCTGATACTAGACCCAGATATTAAACTTTAAGTTTAAAAAGGTAATAGAAATGGCTCTTGCGATGGAACGTGCAATTTAATCAAAATATGCAATTTCTGTTGATTTGATTCAAATTAGAAACCTCCCTACCCCAATTAAATATATAAGGCCTGATGTTATATTTGCTTATTTGTAATACATTTATCTTTTTTAATATTTATTTCCTTCTTTTATAAATTATTCAATTCGAAAAATTTGCTATATCTTCAGTCAGAATAACTATCTATATTTTAAAATAATTTTTTGATATAAAATAATATTTTAAATTAAAGAATGTATTGATTAAAACTTAATATGCCATCGATCAGATCAATGAGATAAAATTGTCTTTACCCGTGCATCATCCTAAATTTATTTCAAAATTACATCAAGCTATATTCGTTGTTTCTAGTGATTATTTTTTTCAAATGCCTGAAAGATTTGTTAAAAAGCCCGATTCGGGTCACTTTTTACCAAAATAATATTGTGTAAGCCTAGGTAATTTGCTTATAGATGGCAGAAAGGTTTGGGTTTCTACTTCCTAAATCTTTAGCTTACTTAATATATTTTGAAGGTCGATTTTTAACTCATAGCTGGCTGAAATGCATAGACATCTTTTGCATTTTCAAATCTCGATGCTTACATAATTAGTTAAAATCTTAATCGGTCTGTTTTGAAAAATTGACCCAAATCAGGCTTTCAATATTTTTAACAACACTAATGCCTGACAAAGTTTAGAACTAACCGAACATATTTAAAGACAGGAATCCTCAATCATATGTAAACAGCAAACGACTCAAATTATGGGTCAGAAATCGAGCATTTTTGAACTAGAAAACATTTCAGCCGATCAATTGTTATGCCGTTTTATTTCAAATGATAAAATAAAGCTAAATGACATATTTTGGAAAAATCTTTTTGATTATTCACCCAAAAATATTAAAAAGTAAGTTTTAATATTAATAATTGCATGTCTATAAGTTATTTAGATTTTTCAAATCTTAGACTATCATATTATATATTTAATATCTTAATTTAATTGATTTATTTATTTTTATTTCTAGAATTTTTGTAAACTCATTAATGCACAATATTTTTAGACTTAAATTAGAAGCTAACATATTTTTAATTAAGTGATTCAATAAAAAAAGTTATTTCAAATTCTCTAAGAGCCCTAATAATTCATCCATTTTTATTTTTTGGTTAGCATGCTTTAATTTTTTAGGTATCTATGTTCTTTATTTTATGTTTAGTAACTTATAAAATTAAAAAGGTTTGCTCTGCATAAATAAAACTATTTTAATAGAATATTTTTCTTTAATTTATGACCTTTTTTTACAATATAATCCTGGTTCCTAAATGTATTTTTGTGAAGGGTTGTTTCACATCTCAATTTTTTTTCTAATTCATACTTAAAATTAGCTTAACCAGACTTGTCATCTTTTGTTTTAATTATATTATTCATATAAATATCTATTTTTTTGTATACTTTATTTTTCTTATTATTTTTAGAATGGAAAGAATAGTATACTCATGTATAAAAAATTAATTTCTTCCATTTTCGAAAACTTTATTATAATAAAGATAGGATTAAATATCTTCTCATTTTTAACAAATTATTATGATAAATCACACTCATAGTACTTCCCCTGGTGATGAAAATGATTCTTATGTGTATATAAAGTAAGTTATAATTTATAAAATCTAGTTCTTTAAAGTTTGAACCAATACTGCATTATTCAAACAAATTTTTTAGTAAGATTTCTAAAACAAAATTCATAGAACTTATAAAAAATCAAAAAATATTGCTTCTATCATTGTGTAGAGCCTACATTTTGATAACTAAAAATTAAATATAGTATCTTTTAAAAAATATATAAATGAGAATCATTTTATACACTTTTCAATATTTTGTGTATATAATCTTATCTAAAAATTTAATATATTTTTTATTTAATATGGTTAAATTCTCCTACTTTTTGTTTGAATGAATCTGGCATCCTGATTTTGAGGCTATAACTAAAGAGTTTGTCACTAAATTATTCTCAAACACTTAAATATACTTCTATACAGAGTGTTGAACCTAAACCACAAAACTTTCGTAATTGAATATAAATATTTGAGTTTAATCATCAATTGTAGGCATTATTATGTTATAGTTTAATATAGATTTATAACATTTAATTTTTGTATGATCACTATATTATGCGAATTGTGGGTTATTTTTATTTTATAATTATTATTTTTTGGCGTAATTCTGGGATTTATAATTTAAAAAATGTATAACTTGTTATTTTTTAGAATATTTTTTTTACAATTAGGAGCTTCAAGTGGAAGCAAATTTTAATGTAATTTATTTCATTTTTTTTTCTGATTGATTTTATTATTGTATTGTAATTTGATTTTTCCTCTTATAACTTATTTTAATAAAGACTATCAGTAATAAAAGATTATTATTTATATTGGATTAGTGATTATTTTGGGTTATTATTAGTGTTATACACATTCCTGCAGCACAACATAAACCAAAATGTGTTTTAACTTTTGGAACCATAACTGAACCATTATAAATATTTTTTGAACAAATTCATTCTATAGTTCTTAAAATTATATTTATTTCTTTCCTTTCCTTTCTTACTTTTTTTTTCTTTATATCTTTCTTTCTCTTAAATTTAAAAAGCCATTTCAAAATTTAAAAGGTCATTTTAGAAATTTAAAGAAAGTATAAATAAATGGTTCACACATTTCTTTTTGGGGGTTATTTTATTTTTCATATTTTTTGATTATTGGTTTTGTAACCATAAATTTGGTTATTATATCAATTAATTCCTTATTGATTTGGGATTATTCTGAAAATTTAAATAATTTTTTCTCCATTAAATTTTTCTTTTTCTAAATATCTTTTATTATTACCTAATTTTTAAAAAATAGAAATTAAATTTAATGATAACGACATAAAAATTTTGAAATTTATTTATAAGTTTATTTTATTGTTTAACCCTTTTTAAATATAATTTTATATTATATATATATTAGTAATGGAGATGCAATATTAATATAAGACACCTTTAGATATTTTTTTTAATTGAATTTAATAGTAGCAATCTAAATATTTGAAAATTCTAAGGAATCTTATATTGAAAATGCTTAATCCATTTTACGTGAAAATCATGGCTCTTATCACTACTAACTCCATTCTCTTCATTAGTTTAACGAAGATTTTGCTAAGAGGGGAATATAATGGGTATAATTACTTATTTTTAGCCGTTTAAGCCAATTTTTACTTGGCGAAAAAGTCGACTAACTTGAGTTTTAAGCAGGAAACTTCTCTGGTACGTACCTGTAGATTGAGTCGGATTAGCCGTTATTTAGCCACTACCCATCAATAGTGGGGATGCACTATTAGGCGGGGTTTTCTTCCCCATGAACCCGTTTCCCCTTGTTCACAGCTGACAATCAAAAAATTGACTTTTGCACAATATATTTCTTTTATCTAATATTTCCAATCAGGTCCTTTAAAAAAACTCGAATTAATAAAATATAATTAACAACTGATTCTTTATTGTAATTTTTTATTAATATTATTAATTATCATGTCCTTGATAAAAAAATTGAATAAAAAGGTTCATATTTTTATTTTAAATATAAGTTGTATGGTGAATTTAGAAAAATAATAAGTAAATGTTTTAAAAATCTAACAATTGTCAATTGTTTAAAAAAATAAAATAGTATTAGATATTTAAATGAGTGCAAAAAAAGGTAAAACCTTTGTTCTTAAAGGAAATTTGTAAGTTATTCTCGTTTAAATATTTTTTTTATAATTTTTATGCCGCCATTTCTTTTTTTTAATTATAAATAAATTATTTATTTATTTTTGCCAGTTTTGATCTTAAGATATTGGAAGAAAATATAAGTGGAATGTGTAGAAGTTTATCAATCAATAATTTAGACACTGGTAACTTTGTTTCGTTGATGGCATTTTTTGTCAAAAAAGCAAATGACTACGTGTTCATGAACTCCACCAGTGTTTCTGAGTAATAGCTTGATTTTATTATTTAATTTCATTAGAAGCAATATTCAACAAAGTTTTTTATTTGTCAGTAAATTATTGGATTATATAACGTTTTTTAACGTATAAAATAACTCGTATCACGTCAATACCGCGAAAATTTTAGCGCTAAGTGTATTATAGCGAATGCATCATAACGAGAACAGTATCGCGAATGCGTTATAGCGAATGCATTACCGCGAAAACATTATCGCGAATACATCATAGCGAATGTATTATCGCGAATGCATTACCGCGAAAACATTATCGTGAATACATCATAGCGAATGTATTATCGCGAATGCATTACCGCGAAAACATTATCGCGAATACATCATAGCGAATGTATTATCGCGAATGCATTAAATATTAAAATTCTTTGCTACTTATCCACTTACTTATGTTTTTATTTTTTAAATATATTGACAACCATAAATTTGTTACCTTTTGGAAGTTCCTGGTCGATAATATTTTTCACCGAATTTCTTTTTCTCTAAGGAAATTCTTTAGACTTTCTAATTATATTGTAACTCATTTAGCAAATTCAGACTTTTTTCAAAAAACCAGAGAACCAGCCTCTTTGACGTTTCTATATTTATTTAACGTAGCGTTTTTAAATTTTTTTAACTATAACACGTCACTTGATATTTAAAAATTAGGTTAAGTCGTTTTTTTATAAAATTTGAAATACTAATATTTGACAAAAAAATAACTTAAGACCCTCATTAATTTCCATTTATTCAAAAATGGGCTAGACGTGTTCCCATTATGTTTATCCATAGCCGGATGCTTATCGCTATAACAACTTTACTATTTAAGGATTTATTTTTTTTATTATTTAAATTATACTTTAAAAATAACGCCCAATAGAAGGAGGAATAGGATTTCTTGCTTCTGAAATTTCCTGCATTAATCATTTTAATTTCCAAAACATCAATTTTTATTTAAAAATGAGCGCCAACATTTTTTAAGCGAGCATTTAATTTATTAGCAATCATACATTAATCGCAGTCATAGTAATCCAAGTTATTTTCAAACATTAATTTTTATAGAAAATGGCCGTCAGTGTTTTTGAGTGAGAAATGGATATTATTAACAATCAAAATCAATTTTATCCCAATCATTATAAAACATCGATTTTCAAAACAAATAAGACATCGATTTTCAAAACAAATAAGGGGATCACCAATGGTTTTGAATTCAAAAAATTATGGCAGCAGTTGTTTTATAACGGTTGCACGTGTTATTAAATAACTGCCCTTAGTAGAAGAACAGCACTCAATATTAAACAACGGTTTCAAATAGTACACCGGGGCATATATATTTTTTTTCCACAAAACCCGAGATGATTTTTTAAAAATAAATTTAAATTAAATTTTAATCCTTAGTAAAATCATAAGCATTTAATATTAATTTACTGGTCATAAATTCAGAATAAAACAATTTATAAAATACAGCCAAAATTGTTCAAAATAACGCATGCAAATTTAATTTATTTCGACCAAAGCTCTACCCAAAATTTTTATTTATTTTTAGGCCCTAGTCTAGTTTTTATTTTAAATTTTAGGGCAGAGCCTATCCTGTCCCAAATTTAATTGAAAAATATAACTAAACGCCTATTTATCAATCAATTAATAATTCCTTAACCTTATTACTAGAGAAATCTATTTTATTGCTTAAAATCTTTTTTTATATATTTTGAGTCAAAAAAAAATAAAGCCCTATTTTCGAAAAAAAAGGTTTTTAGACAAGCCCAACTTTAACTTAATTTCCAGGTTCAACTAAGTCTATCTAAAGACCGATAAATATAAAATTATAATTTTCATCAAACTCAATTTTCGATATTGCAACTGATGTAATTAATCCATTTAAGATAATGTATTAGCGATAATGCATTCGTGATAATAAATTCGCCCTAATGCATTTGCACTAATACATTGGCGATAATGCATTCGCTAAAATGCACTCGCTATAATGCATTAGCGATAATGCTTTCGCGATAATCTTTCGCCGTAATACATTCGCGATAATGCACTAGCGATAATCCATTCGCTATGATACATTCGCGTTAACATTTATGCGGGAATACATTCGCGCTAATGCATTCACTATATTATGTTTGCTATAATGCATTCGCTATAATATTATTTAACGGTAATCGACATTAGCGATGCCCTAAAATTTTTGCGGTATTGACATGTAACCAAAATAACTGTATATTAATAAATATACTAATAAAGCCATTTGCCAATTGTTATTTCTTTAGTAAAAAAAAATATAGGTTAAAATTTTGAATGTATACTTCTTTTAATAAGGTATTTTAATATATATATAAATGATTATCACTACTAATTTTAATAAAAAATTTAGGAGGATATCAGCCCAAGAAACATTGTTCAATATTTTATTTATTATACGTTGCTGTCTGAAATATTTTGCTCGTTGTATCATCGAAGAGAATTTTGTTAATCAAATAAAACTTAACGGTATTAATCAATAATTTTTTTAGCTCTTTTCTAATTTATGTATATATATTTATTTTAAGATAAAATTAGAAGCGAAATTTGTATATTATTTCAAAGCGGAGCAGACGAAAAAAACGCTTTGTTCACGGACGATTATTTTATTTTGCGAAACTTTATTATAAGCCTCCTCGAGATAATCATAACTCCGGTCTATAGTAACACCCATAATATCGAGTAAAAATACAATCTCTTGATCACAATATAAAAAGTTAATACAGAACAGTAAATTATTATACCATTGTAATTGTAATTTGGTAGATAGAGGGTGTTGTTGTATAAACCGTTTATGTTAGCCTAAAAAAGTTATGTTTATGCTTCAATTTCTGTTCTTAATTCTGAATAGAACATAGGATACTGATAATATTATTAAAATACTCTTTAAACAATATTATCTAAGCAGCCTTTTTAAATTTCTTCTAACAAGAAAAAAAAAGGGGTAAATTTAATAATTGTATAGTAAGTAAATTAGAATCAATTTTTTTTTAAAATATTTGTGTTCAGAAGTGGTTACTTAATTTTCATAATACCTGATGATGATGTGTTTTTTATGTTGATTATATTTTTATAATAAGTTATTAATCTTGGTTAAACTTTACCCACACACCCCCACCACCATTAGGAATTATATTTTGATATTGGAAGCCCTGAATACCTTGATAACTCTTCTCTCCGTACAATTATATCGGTCCGAATTGCTAACCAGCAACCATTCCGAGCCATTTTCGTCCATTATTTACGAGATTTTGTACAGAGATCCCCAAATTGCGTATAATAATTATCAAATATTTTTAAATTACTATACTATTTCTCTTTTTTTTATAAAACATAAATAAATAAATATTATACTTTTACAAAATTTAAAAAAAAATGACAAACATGATGAACCAGCTGATGCCATTGAACTTTTTCGCGCGTATCACGTTTTCGAATTTCTCGCATATTTTTATATTTTAGATTTTTTTATTTGAGAAATAGTAAAAAAATTAAAGATATAACTGGAATTTTTTTTAAAAATATCCAGCGGCTAGATTATCCGTGTTTTAATTAGTTTTTTCGATAATCAAAATTAGCAATTATTATGTAAATTAATTTTATTGGTTTTTTTTATATTATGTTTCTTCTAGCCATCCCCATAAATAATGTTATTTATGATAAGATCAGCTGATATCCGATATCATTAGTATCGGCAAAATTGGGTCGGATCGGTTTTAAAAAATTGATTAAGTTGTAACTGTACCTCTGATCAAAATTTTTTTTAAAAAAATAGACGAGAATATGCTGTTCCGTTGACTAAAGCCTTATTATCGTACGCCAACGAGACAAATATACCTTCTCAAATTAAATTACTCGCGACATCACGGAATCATGCGTTGGAGGGTAGTTTGATTATCAATCTGAGCACCAAATTGGCTGGTTTGAAAATTCAGTTATCATTTTTAAGCATGTTTTTGAATATAAATTATAGATAGGCCTGAACCGGTCCACCGATTTTTTTTTGAAAAAGTTTTTCCTGCCCCAGGTCCGTATTTTTATACAAATTGTCTCAGCACGGCATGAAAGTTATTTTTCTCCGGGCCGATCCTAGCCTTTGTTTGTATATATTTTTTGTTTCATCTTATCTAATGATCCTTGAGGGGTGTGGTTTTTAAAAGACTTCCTACTTCTTTTTTTTTAGAATTACAATGACAATAAAACTGTTTTATTTTTTTTATTTGAATTTTTTTAAAATAGTTATTAGCTAAACATAAGAATTCCGACTAAACAGCACTCATGCACTACAATACGTACTTTTGTGAGATATACCTGATATTTAAATAATTTTTGGTCAGCCTCAAAAATTTCTAAAAATTAGCTGATATTTATACGAAATTGGTATATTAATTGTTGTATTTTATTTGTCCCGTTATTATAATTTTTAATTTAAAAGTAATGTTTTTGATAATTTTTTTTATTATTGGTCCCTACTATATAACCTTGTTATTATTGTCGGATCCACTTTTTTAAAATAATTAGCATGTTACCACCTCATTTACAGTTAACGCGAATTCGCAAAATACAAAGATACAGCATATTTTGTACCAGATGAAGATTTATTTAATACAATGCTAATAAAATTGAAAACATAAAATACATTAGTGTTGTTAAACGGCTCGTTTTGAGCCGATTTTTAAAAACGCCTAACTCAATATTTCGTCCAGAATAGTATTACGCAAGCCTGAAGATTTTGTTTATAGAAGGAACAAGGGTTTGGACATCTATTAGCGAAATCTCGAGGCTTAGAAAATATTTTCCTGGCTAATATATTGAATTAGCCGTTTTTAAAAATCGGCTCAAAACGAGCCGTTTAACAACACTAAAATACATGTCTAATTTGTTTTGTTCCACCTGGGATAATGAAGGATTTATATATGTCGTATTGGGATATGGAATCATGTGGGATTCGGAATCCCCACGTTTTTTTTGGAATCTTTTTTTTAAATTAAAAAAAATATTTAAATATTCCGAATCCCGATCCCCATGGGGATTCAAAATATTTTTTTTAAAAATTATTAAATTATATTTTTTATTAAATATTTTAGCTTTATATAAAAATTTTAATATTTGGAATTTCTTAAGAATTTAATAAAATCTTTCTTTCTTTCTTTCTTTCTTATTACTTTAAGTGATCTTTCTTTTCTTTCTTTCATTACTTTCCTAAAAATTTTTATTTTAATATTTTGAGAATTTCTTATGAATTTAATAATCATCTGTATACATTTTAATACAATATTTCAATTTAATGAATAAAATTGACTCGTTTATTACTATATTTCGATATTTTTATTAATTGTATAAATTTCAATAATATATTTCAATTTATTTCGAATTAACCCTTCCCAACAAAGGTTAAAAAAATCACTTAAACTTTAAAGATGGGGTCTATTTTACCCCTAATAAATACAAAATTTAAGATTTTATGCTAATTTTCCTAAAATTGCTTAGATTTTAAGACTATATTTCAATTTAATGAATAAAATTGACTCATTTAATACTATATTTCGATAATAAAAATATGCTACATTATTTTAAAAAAATTATCACCAAATAATACTATATTAATTTAAAATAACATTAAAAAAAACATAAAAAAAATAACAAAAAAAATAATATACCCGACTTAAGCAATAACCCATATTTTAATTTTTCTTTCTTTCTTATTACTTTCCCAAAATTTTTGAAAAAAAATATTCACAAAAACAACAAAAAAAATTGAAAAAACGAAAAAAAACAACACCAATTTTTTTTTAAATCTAGCTATTTTTTTTATATAATAAAAATAAACTTAAACTCTATTCATTTTTCCCTTTAAACCCCTTTTATCTTTAATAATTTATCTTATCATATAAATGGAAATCGTTTTTAAAAATTATTAAATTATATTTTTTTAAATATTCCGAATCTCCCTAATGGGCTAAGCAAATCTAATTAAAAATAAACTTAGTACTCTATTCATAAACTAAATAATATAATTTTCAAAAAGGATATAATTAAAAGGCTAAAATAAAGGATTCAAATTAAAGCAATAATGAATGAAAAGGGATAAGATTGACATTTTTGTTTTTGTAAGTTTATATAAAATCAATCACTTGACAAACCATGATATTTTTTAAAATTCTATATTTTGAAAAATTTGCTAAGTCTATTTTTATAACACTTATTTTTTATGGATAAAAATAACCCCGGTCTTCCGTATTAGATTGAAACAATCTAAGTTTTATATAATCAGATTAGCTTCTGCTTGCAGTTATTCCACACATAGCCCTTACAAAAACAAATTTCCAAATTTTTAAATCGTCTAAAATTAATTAAAAACAGATAGGATGTACACCATAAACTAGGGTTTGAAGATGATTTTTGAATACTTTTTATCAGGGTTGGCAATTCGGTCAATTGACCGGTCAAATTCAGTCAATTGACTGGAGGAGTATTTACAAAATATTTTAAGTGATAAAATTAATTTGTATAAACAGCATGTTTAATAGTTAATTATGTGGAAAGCAGTAATTTCTATAAGAAACAATCAATTCCCACCTAAAGTTAGTGGAATAAACTTTGCCCACCATGCCCATTAAGACTAATAATTACTAGTTATACTTTTTCTTTAGAAAGAAATATGTCGATTGGGGATATTCTTACGAAAACAGAAATCGATTGAAGATTTCGACATCGGGAAAGATGGAGAGGATTTAATACCTTTGTCATAATATTTTTTGGAAAAATGTTTACCCCCACCCTCTCATGATTTAAACCACCAGAAGACATAGATTATAATTAAAATTGAAGGAAAATGAAAGAAAAATGTTAACAACTCTACGTATTATTGATTATTTTCGCTTTAAAATGTTAACTCTAAAGTTTGACTAAAAAAAGGCCGTTTAAATCTGTACTTTCTCACTCTTAAACATTTTTAAAAGATTAATTAGTGCTGTTAAATAGTCGAGTTCTCCTGACTTCGACTCCGAGTCGAAGTCGCAATAATCGTCTCAAAACTTGAGTCGTGTTTTGGGTCGATTAGTCGACTCATTTTTACAACTTAAGTTCTGAACTTGAGTCGCCTCGAGTTATGAACTTGAGTCGTGAAAATAATTTTATTAAGTTAAATTTTAATTTAAAAGTTTTGTATAATAATTCTTAGCTGCTTCAAAGCTATGCTTAACTTGAGTCGTGAACTCAAGTCGCGACTCGAGTTTTGAACTTGAGTCGTGAACTTAACAAGTTAACTTAAATTTTATGAAACTAAATTACTTATATTAGTTTTGTTATTTGGTTGGTAGTGTAATACCCTACCCAGACATGGCGCTTGGCTCTAAAAATCGACTAAATCTGCTATGAGCACGAACCCCGAGCACAGATTCGTGGTTCAGACCCATATATTTTAAGTAATTTCTTATTGAACTTATTATAGATATAAATATATGGTTATTAGTTATCAATCGATAATTAAGACATATTGAATAGGCAACAAGCCAAGCGATACCTCTCGATGGAGAAGCTATTATTGGGGGGGGGGGGGGTCAGGACTAATTTTATGTATCAAATACGCCTAATTCTACTTTAATATGGTGTATAAATATATTTTTATTTATTAAAAATTTTTTTAATTTAATCTTAATTTTCTTTCTCCTGTTTTTATAAGTCAAACCCTTATTCGAAATATATATTTTTCTATTAAATTTGTTTTTATTTCTAAAATAAAATTATATACTTTTTTGTCAATTTTTGCCAGTTTTTATTTTCTTTATTTTCTTTATTTGTTATATAATAAACTAATTAATATAAATTTTCAAAAAGGATAAAAATCATAAATATTTTCGCATGAATATATATTTTAAAAAAATCGGAATTAAAAAATAAATTATTTATTACAACAATTATTTAATGATACATGACATTTAGTTGAACATTTAAGATTGTTCTTGTAACATTCGCATCTTGTGTTCATGCAACCCATTTTGCAATTACATAACGACGTTTTCCCATAGTTTGTATTACTCCGGGAGGCTAAATATTAGATAACTTATTTACAGAAATGATAAATACGGAGTTTCCATCCATAATAATTATTCATTCCAGGCCTAGGCACCCTGAGACAAACGAGCTCATCGAAAGAGCAAATTCTACCTTGGAAACGCGCATATCTGCGTATATGCTGGAAACTAAAAAAACTGACTGGGCCCACCAGCTTCCCAAAATTGTTTCTAAAATAAATAACAATTATAGTAGAATCATTAAAAGCACACCTTACGAGGTATTTTACGCTCGTAATGATAACCAAGAAATAATCTCTAGTTCAAATGAAATGGATTTAACATCATGTTCTGATAATGGTATTGTTTTTTATATTGATTACTTATTTTTTATCTCTTTCATATTCTAAAGATGAAGGATTCTCCAACACAAGGGCGGCCAATAGTAAAAAATAATGTTATTTATTTTTGAGCATATTTCTCTTTTATAGCATTTAAAATTTAGACAAATAATTAGTGGAAACATAATGTTTATATCACCAATTTCAATTATCGAAGAAGTACTATCGGATTTGGAATATGTATGGTCTCGCAACTGGTAAGGTGTATCAATCATCCAGATATCTTATATTTTTAAAAATTATTCAATTTATGCATTAAAATTTATCTTTAATACCATTATTTGATGTCGAGGGTTCGTTAGAATCGAAAAAAACTAAATTTTAAAAAAAAATTAAAAATAAATAACATTATTTTTTACTATTGGCCTCCCTTGTGTTGGAATCCTTCATCTTTAGAATATGAAAGAGATAAAAAATAAGTAATCAATATAAAAAACAATACCATTATCAGAACATGATGTTAAATCCATTTCATTTGAACTAGAGATTATTTCTTGGTTATCATTACGAGCGTAAAATACCTCGTAAGGTGTGCTTTTAATGATTCTACTATAATTGTTATTTATTTTAGAAACAATTTTGATAAGCTGGTGGGCCCAGTCAGTTTTTTTAGTTTCCAGCATATACGCAGATATGCGCGTTTCCAAGGTAGAATTTGCTCTTTCGATGAGCCCCCCATTTGTCTCAGGATGCCTAGGCCTGGAATGAATAATCATTATGGATGGAAACTCCGTATTAATCATCTCTGTAAATAAGTTATCTAAGAATAATAATTAATTAGATATTTATAAATAATAAATTACTCTTAAATTCTCTACCATTGTCACTCTGCAAAATTTTTGGAGGCCCAAATTGATAAAATAAGTTTCTTAAAATATCAACAATTCCTTCCGCTTTTTTTGACGGCAGAGCACTAGCGCATGTAAACTTGCTCAAATGATCTTTAAGGTGGAATATATATTTATAGATACCATCTGGTGTAGATGACATATCAATTAAATCTATTTCCACCCGCCCCCAGACGGAATGGCTTACTAAAGGTTTTCCAACTGGCGCCTTTGGAAGATTTTTTTTTATAGAGCAGATTAGACAATTTTGGATATATTTTATAACGAATTTTTGAGGAATTGAAGCATATACGGATTCTATATTTTTAATTGTTGTGTTGACACCGGGATGATTATTGTCATTATGGTGGACTTTTAATATGGATTGAATATTGGATATGATAAAAATGGTTTTTTTTTACAAAATAAAGACTCATTTTCTAAATAAAAATAAGAAAAAACTTTAAATTTTAATTTTGCTGGTATATTTAGAATAGATTTATATTTTGGAGTTTTTAATATCGTTTTAAAAATATTATAATCATTATCAGTTTTAGGTAAAAAAAATTTTAAACTAAAATTATATATAATTATTTTATTTTTAGAAAAATGAAAATAAATTTGAAAATGTAAAAAATAAAAGAAAATATAATATCTCGAAATATATAAAATAAAAGTTATTTAATTATAAATCAATCAAATTTTTCAAAATTTTGGAAATTTTTCTTTAGTATTAACTTGTTAAGTCCAAAATTTATATTTATACAATTTCATGAAAATAATAAATCAAAAAAAAAGACATAAAATATATAATTTTTTAGCTAACTATGAATATGTATTATTTTTTTTATAAAAAGGGGGGGGGGGATTTTAAAATTCTTTCCTTTTCTATTATATCTTTTCAATTTTATAATAAATCTTTAAAAAATGTTTAAGAGTGAGAAAGTACAGATTTAAACGGCCTTTTTTTAGTCAAACTTTAGAGTTAAAGGAAAGTAATGAAAGAAAGAAAAGAAAGATCACTTAAAGTAATAAGAAAGAAAGAAAAGAAAGATTTTATTAAATTCTTAAGAAATTCTCCAAATATTAAAATTTTTATATAAAGCTAAAATATTTAATAAAAAATATATTTAATAATTTTTAAAAAAAATAAATATTTTTTTTAATTTAAAAAAAAGATTCCAAAAAAAACGTGGGGATTCAAGATCTCGGATCCCCACGTTGGGATTCCGAATCCCACATGATTCCATATCCCAATACGACATATATATTCGAAGAGTGTAAGCTAGGTTTCGGATACATATTTAAAAAATATATAAATATATTTATGTATCATTTCTCGATTTAATCCTAGGCAGCCTGTACGATGCCGTGTTAAACACATTACCCTCCTTCGGATTTAGCTCCACCCAACCTAATAACGACAATGTAGCCAGGACCACAGTTTTACCCATCAATCCCATAACTTGTTTAGCTCCCCCTTATTCTTTCCACCTTAGTTCTCCCGACCTGTTGGCTAAAGAATTGCCCGATTTTTCTGAACCCATTATCACCAACGGCCAAAAATTGTTCAAATTAGATCCAGGAATTAACGAATCTAAAGGAGGGAAAGTCAGCACCGTCGCCACGAAAGTAAACAAGGATGATTTACACGCGCGAGCGAAGGACGAGTCCAATTTGGTGGGCCTCTTAGCTAAACGCAGCGAGATATTGTTAGTCGTACTCAGCACCTCGCTCATGCGTCGCCGAAAATACGCTTCTGCGAACCACCAAGAAAGCGGCGGAGAAGGTGATGTCAATAATAATAACGGCTTAAAACATGATTATTTGGATGGCGATTGTGAAAATCCTTATTTGAAAACCTTGAGTACGTTTGGGGATGATGCTGGTAAAAATATATATTTCAATATCCCTTTTTGACTTATAATAAGATTGATAGGCAGATTAGAGATTGACTAGATAGATCTCAATTTTGAATCGAAACTACGATTTTATATCAGAATTCTATATAAGTTACGTTATACTAAAATATAGGTTCCTTATTTGATCGCTCAGAATTTACTTAAATAATTAATCATTCTCAGATAAAAAAGATACTAATTGCTCATTCATATATAAAACTAGTGTTGTTTGAAGTAATTTTTGCATAATATTAATTGAAAGATTATAACTAGTAACTGTAACTAGTTAGATTTTTTGGATTGTAACTTCAAAAAGTAACTAGTTACCTTATTAAAAAAAGTATTATATATCTCATAATAAATATATTCAAATAATTAATTTTATTTTGAATATTATGTTAAATTAATTTTAAAATTAAGTTTATTATTTTTAAATTTTAATTAAATGGCTGATTCTATATGTGCACCTTTGTTTTATATTTAATATTGATAATTGATCAGACCCATATGTTGAGGAGGGGGGAGGCACTATTAGGTGGGGTTTCTTCCCTAAATTTTATTGGAGGTTAGGTCCACTTATTTGTAATTTGATTATGTTATCTTTTTATAATAAACAAGTTTAATTTTCACTTTTTTTTATGAAATTGCTTTTTCCTAATCTTTAATAATAGTCTTTATTTTAATAAATTATTAACTTTTACTTATTTTTCTTTCTTAGTAATATATATTTTAATTTTATGCATTTTTGGGGGGAGAAGGGGGTATTTTATTAGCTTAAAATGAATATTTCCCGAGAACTAGCAAATTTTCGAAGAAAAGGGGGTTTCCCTTTGCTCCCCTCCCCTTGCTACCTTATGTACAAAATATAATATGAATTCTGACACGCCATTTGATAAGGATGATATTCAAATGATTCAGAATGGTGAAATAGTAATTTTACCATCCCATTATAGAAGTATTAGCACAACTACTAACTTAAATGTTAAAATACCTTATCCAAGTATCCAAAAATATTTCGAATATGACAAAGAGAAGGCTGGTTAGTACAGGCAATATTAGTGTTAAATGTCTCTTCTTATACCTTACCAAAAAAAAGTGCATTTCAGCATCTGTGTTATACACAACCAATCTACAGGAACACATCTCTGTAAGATTGTTTTCACTTCACATAACTTGTCTTATTCTAAATTTTAGATACATGTACATCTAGCATGATTTTTGTTTTCCTTTTTAAATGGAATTGTTATTTAAATTAATCCAATATAAATAATTATGACTTTGACTACTTTCCCAGGCACCGCAGATGTTCTTGTCATACATTAATAGTGGCAACACAAGATGCCAGCAAGATTCTTTTAGGGATTCATGATTATAAGTATAAGAACCGTATAACATTGTTGTATCAAAATGCCAACCTTAGTGGAATTTATAAATAAATCTGGGTGTCATCTGAACTAATTAAAAGGAAATTCAATTATTACTTTTTATTAAATACAATGTTTTTCCTTACATTAAGGTTCCCTTAGAATGTTTATTTATTATAGAGAAACGCATGCGTAAGATTGAAACGCTAAAATGAAACGCTCAAGAAAATCGTCTTCAAATTTTAAAGAATAATATCAGAAAGGAATTCAGTTTTAAAAAAAAATTCTTAGCTAAATAATATAAGTCTTAAAAAATATATATTGATCACTCACCCTGCATTCACAGTTAGCGCGAATCTTGCGAAGTTTACAAAAATATAGCAGCACCGCCACGATTGCTAACTATAAATGCAGGATAACCCATCATTCACAGTGCGCAAATTTTCGGCGGGGAATACAAAAATGCAGCGATTTTTGTATAATTCTTCGTGTATCCGCTCTAACTATATGAATAAAAGGTTATAGCTCTATTATTTCGAATGATAAATAAGTAATTATTAGGGATGTACCGATATTTTTTATCGGATCGGGCCGATATTTCATCCATTTTAAAATATCGGTTATCGGTTAATATTATAAAATTTTCCGATCCGATATAAAATGGCGTCTTAAACAAAAATAAAATGTTATAAAATTTTATAAAAAAGGTTATATCTAAAATCATTTATTTTTATAAATAAAATCGAATTCCATTTTTATGTATATTTTTTTAATAATAATAATTAATTAATAAACATTCTGCCATACTGTTATTTTTTTGCCCATTAGCCATAATCTCTTCAGAATCTGTTTTTAGTGAAGCTGGTGATATTGACAACATTTCCTCAGGCTGATCTCTGATAAATTGTAAATATTGCTATTGCTATTTCTAAAAAGAAAAATAAAAATATTTTATAATACTTTTAGAATTGCAATTGAATTGAATATAAACTATAACTGATCATTACAATATATTTAAATGACATAAGTTATGGTATAATTAAATTATAGATGTTATACTAATAAAAAGTATATTAAAAATTAAAACCGGTATCTTTACAGAATACAAAATTAGATATAATATCGGATCGGTTATCGGCCGATATCAATTTATTATAAGGAATATCGGATAGGATCATTGGCCTCCAAAAAGTGGTATCGGTACACCCCTAGTAATTATTGATCTCCCCTCAAGATTTATCATTGTGAATGCCACTGATTTATATATAATTATAAATATCGAGTAAACATCATCACTTTAATTACTGATCCTCTTTTTTTTGAAAAAAAATGTGAAAATTAAAGATGCTTCCAGTAACCTTCCTCTCATTCCATTCCGATTAAATTTCAATTCGCTTTACCAGTATTTTTGTCGAAATTTTTCTTCCCGACCAACAACAACGCTGTTCTTTTACCTCGTGTTCCACCAAAATTTCCATTTCAAGACATACGTCTTGGCTCGAAGCGATATCGAATCTTTGGTAAGTAATAAAATAAGTGCTTACGATAATATTCATATCTTTAAAGCATATTTTAAAAAAAATTTTTGGCTCGGCCCGGCTTGGGCATATTTAATAAAGTTAGGGGTGGGCCTTATAGGTCTCTATATATATTATCATGACCATTAATTATTTTTAAAAAAAATGGTTGACTATTATTATTATTGCTTCAATATTCATTCGACCCCTTCATCCTGTGCATACTATCAAGCAACAAAAAAAAATTTATAAAGAAAAAAATCGCGCAATTTTAACTTTTTTAGCTAGGACATGACTTCATAGTTTTAAAAGAATTATATTTGTATATATATATAAATTTATTCATTTATTACCAGATTATTCCCTTGCTTCACAATATATATGAGATGGGTAAGAAATTGCAAAAAAATTCGCCATGCCATCACCTGTACATGTGCCTAATAATCTGTCTCATTCTCACCGAGGATGATTTGTTCAACACTTCCGTTCATAAAATTGTACATACTATTTTTATTATTTTTTTTAAAAAGTCTCGGAACCCGGCCCGTTTTAGACGGAAATCCGGGTCGAACCTAAGATTTTGACCTCTGAACTGGTCCCCGAAAAAAATTATATTAAAAATTCTATAAGGTTAATTAAAAAGGAAATGATGTAAATGAGAGTCCCACGCGAGATAGTAGTAGAGGTTGTTTGCGACGAAAGTATTTGTTTTATGTTTAATAGGCGAATCAATAATTAAATTAATAAAAATTAACGTTAAATTGAATTTTATTTAATTAAAAATATAAATTCATCACCCAAATTATTTTATCGCCAAAGAAAATATAATAATAAACGAGATTAATTATTTTAAAATTCATCCGTTTGCTAGAATCACCCATGAAGGAGTTGCTGGAATCGCGTATTTTTACTAATATATATGATAGTGTCAAGTGCTTTTCCGGCAATGTGTTATTTTTTTCAACTTGATATCGTTTTTTTGAGTGCGTTTTTTTTTTAAATTTAAAATTTTGATTTTACTTGAAATATATTCCAGCATTGTAGATAATTTTACCGATGACTTTTGAGTCGTTTATAATTTATATGAAAAATCAATGGAAAAACTAATATAAATTATATTAAGTTGAAAAGTTCATGATAAAATTATCTGAAATTCATAGGGTAGATATTCCAAATATGATGGAATACATATCCGGTAAAATCATATTTTTTAAAATCAAAAGGGAGAAACACATTGACGCTAACATATATATCCCATACGCGATGTTTACCCGTTTTATTATAATGGACGGTACCACTATGTAGTCAGCTAGAATAGTAAAGATTAAAAGGTTAAGTATAGTCGTGTTTCATTAATTCCATTGCCGGTAAAATAGTAGTATATGTTGAAATATCATGTAATGAAGTAATATAGCAATAATGTCCCTGACCATCCGGTTTGTTTATTTTTTTTCTTTTATAATTCATATGAATAAAAGTAAATTTTTTAAATCTTTATTGTTGGTGGTAATGTCAAATATCGTGTTTCCAAAAGGGAAAAAAGAATCTTGTATGTTTACATATCGTTTTTATTTGTTCCGATTACCGGAATCCTCTCTATTAACATTATTATCGGTCCAAGTTATCATTATCATCATTTTTGCAAATATTTCTATTTAATCTTTAATTGTTGGTGGTATGTCTATATCGTGTGTCGTTATCACGTCATTTCTTGTCTAGATCAAAATTAGTATCTGTTCTTTTAATATTGGAGTATTACTTATTTCTTTCTTTATTTTTTTATACGCGTCTTTGCATTCATTAGTCCATCTCCAAGCAACTGCTTTTTCTAATAATTTATATATGGAAAAAAGTTCACATTACAAACAGAACACAAACCATTAATGAGTTTATTTCATCCAAGAAGAGATATACCAACAACATCTACTGCCAGAATACAAAGATGGGCTTTATTATTAGCAGGTTATCAATATGAAATATAATTCAAAAGTAGTCGACAACTAGCCAATGCTGACTTGATACAGTCAAGATCGTTATCCGAAAAGAATACGAACGAAAACAAATAGATTGGGGATAAATGATGTGTATTGAACTGTTGTTTTATTATTTTTGTATTTTTTTATAGCTGTTTCTACTGCAGCAGCTATTTGAATAGCTTTATTTATGTCTATATCATCTTCAGATAATAATCTTTGTAAAATTTTAGGATTTTTTATTCCGAATATATATTTATCTCTTAATGCAGTATTTAAATATTCCCCAAATTCACAAATCGTTGCTAATTTTCGAAGATTTTGTATATAGTCTATTAATTTTTTCCTCTTTATTTCCTGGACTATCTGGTGCGCATAAATTTACCAATATTTTATAAATATCACATCCTATTGTTGTTAATAACAGGGATTTTTTTTGTGATGATAATAACCTTTGTTGTGTGTTTTTAAAATCTTTAAATCAGTCGTACCAATCTTTGTAACACTAGTTTGAATCCGTTAAACTTTTTATCGACTACGCCGTTTTTGTATTGTCTTTATTGTATTTTTTTGTAGAGTAATAGAATTCTCGCAATTTTATTTTATCTCTAAATAATATTAATCTAATTTTTTGTTTATTCAAATTCATATGATAATATATTATAATGAAAATAAACATTTTATAAAAAATACAATAATCATATTTATAATCATATTTTTTTAAAAAAATCCCCCCCCCCTCCTTCATGTTTAATTTTGGCTCTTTTAATTGAAAGTAAGAAGGTAAGATGTCTCATATTATTTTTATTTATTTTTTCCTTTTTAGCTTTCACCTCATATTATATAAATAATTATTCATCGCAAATATTTTGTCACGCGTGAAACGTACGGTTCTGAGGATTCTGCCTCCGCTTTCGATTAAAAATTAGCAATATTTCAATAAACCCCTTTAATACGAATCACACAAAATTCTGAACAATAGGCTCATAAATTAATTGCACTTTTATTGTAACCGGTTTCTGTGCGAAAAAAAGTTCTAAGTGGTTCCGGTTCTTAGATTTGACCCAGCTCCAAACTCATTATTGAACCCTATAATCAGATGTTTTTTTTTTAATTTTTTTTTATATAATCCATTTTATTTTAGGTAATAAAAAGCCCACCCTGGTTTGCTGAACGCTCTATACCACAGATTTCGTTAGGAAGTTTTATGGTGTTAATATTGCTCAGGACTATACAAAATAATTTGTTTCGCATAAGGGTAAGTTAAATAGAATGCTATATTTTTTTTAAAAAAATTTTTATTCAAAAACGCTCGACATTTTAGGAATTATTGTTATTGATGGTATGATATTACTGAAAACATGATTTTTAAATTAAAATTTAAAAACGAAAACTAACGAATCATACAATATCTAAAATTTTTGAATTGATTATTACAACGACTTGACACGAGTTTTTAAAAAAAATTGAATTAATTATTTGCATTATAAGGACAAGTATTTGCACACGAATTGCCTTGCCGCTTTGTCTAACATGTCCCAAAAGTTTCACGATTTACATTCGTACCCTTCTCAGCGGATCGTTAAGTAATTAATTGCGCCATATTTTATATAACGTTTAACATAAATAGGGGGTTTTTTTGCGAAATTAATAATAATGTTAAGCCAACGCACTCGCATTATATTATTATGTAAAACCAGTTAAAATTCTTATTAGTAAAACAATCGCTCGTTTATAGCATTTTAAATAATCTAGTGTGAATTGAATATTTTTTTTACGACAAGCGTTAAAAATAATTTATAAAAAACGTAAACTGGTTTTTGTTTCTTTCTGTCCTTTTTTTAATAATATTAGCCATAATTTAAAGAAGGATACCAAATTGTAAGTATAACCTATTTCAATTATTAATTGATTGGTATTATTATGATTTTATGATATATTAATTGAATTATTATTATAATGTTTAGGATAATTGGATGACAAAATTACATTAAAATTTTAAAAAATCACGCTTCAATTTAAACAAAAAGGATACGTTACGTTTTTTTTATTATTAAAAACGCAGTGTACTGCAAACGCAAACCTTAAATTTGCTCGCACTATTTTATACGAAAAAAAATGGATATTTTTAAAATACGCAAATAAATTTTGTCCATAAATATGGAGTTATGGGCTAATTTGAATGCAGATAGCAGAAAGATGCCATAATGATTTAAAGGTGTATATCAATAGGCCTCCAGAAAATCGAATTTTTCAAAAAAAAGCAAATTTTTTTTTGAGATTTGGTAGATACACAAAAATATTTTTTTAGAACATTTTATTGAATAATTTGTTTCGTATGATAAAAACTGTTCTCGGGCATTAGATCTTCCTAATTGTTTCTTCTTTTAGAAACGTGTGATTTTTTGTAATCATATTTGTGCCTATAAAATTAAGATTCATAAAATCTAATTCCTACAATTTATATTTAATTTGGTTTTGGGAAATTTTAAATAAAAGTTACTATAACAATGGGAAAAAAATTAATACCAGCAAACATATTTTTATAAAAAGTAATTTGCTAATTTCTAAAAATTTGCGATTTTCAAAAGAACAATGCTTTTTTTATTGCGCGTAATAAAATTCGCGAATATTTGCTAAGACGCTCACGTCTGTTTATATCGTTTACAAAAATTAAAATAAATTGCGCATGCGCATTTATAATTGCTAGCCAAGCCAAAAACGTATATCGAATAGATTTCGAATCGATCTATCGCCATTATAGGATTAATTTATGTATCATTTTTATATTTCAATCATTTGTAATTTTGTAAAAATATACCATACCATAACTTATATCCTCATTTATTTTTTGATGGAAAAAAAAATAAAATATGTCTCATAGCCTATACCAAATTTTGCTGAAACACTATTTTAAACTTTTGCGACGCCTGCGCGAATCAAATCCTGATAATGCCGTTGGCAATCACGTGGTAGAGTCAACTGATTTAGAGGTCCGCATTATTTTTTATATTATTAGCTTATAAACTTTTAATTTTTAAAAACTCGATTAATTTGTAAATTTCGTATTTTCCATAGTTTTACCTAGTGTTGTTAAACGGTTCGATTTAAGTCGATTTTTAAAAACGGCTAACTCGATATTTTATCCAGAAACATATTGCGTTAGCCTCGAGATTTTCGCTAATAGATGTCCAAACCTTTGTGCCACATATGAGAAAAATCTTCAGGTTTACTTAATTTTTATATCTTGGTAAAATATTGAGTTAGCCTTATTTAGAAATCGACTCGAAACGTGTCTTTTAACACAACACTAGTTTAACCAATTCTTTATAAATGTATACACAAATATATAACCAGCATTTTTAAATAGAAGGAGGGGAGGGGGGTGGGAGGGAGATTTGATATTTAAATAATATATAAATATAATATTATTATTACACTTTGAAAAAAAGTTAACGTGGACGGACGCCCGAACATTGCAAGAAATGTTAGGCATGATACTCGAAATATTGTATCAATGCCTTTCATCCCCTTCCAACCTACCCTCCAACGCTCACCTAATCTACAACATGCTTTACCAGGAAAAAATATTTAAACCCGATATATTTTTAAGCTCACCGGATATCGAAAACTTATCGAATTCACCTTATTTTCCAAATAACCTGATATCTTTGTTGAATAGCATACATAGTGTAAAAAAATAATTTAAATGACAATTTTTTTTTAACGAATAAAATGAGGATATTATTTACGATTTTAATACCTGCTATTATAACAAATTTTAAATTTTTTATCTTGGATATATTCATAAATCATAATGAATTTTATGAAATATTCATACCACGAATGATTCAATTAAGATGATACTAGTAGTGTTGTTTAAAAGCCGTGAGTCGAGGCTGATTTTTCGATTAAATCCTTTAAAAATGAATTGGGCCATTTGGCACAATCCGGCTTTTTTAAAAATCGTTAGGATAGCATGTCAAAGAGTTGGTTCCACTTAAAACTTACAAATACCTTTAAAAAATATATATTATATAAATAAATTATATGCGCATAATAATGTTGTCAGATCTTGAACGTCATATCAAATCGCCTGCAAATATCTTGTAGACCCCAAATCGACAAAAACGAAAAATCGGACTCTCCCATATCTCCGATTTTCGAAAGCGATAAAATCGGGGAAGACTGCAATAAAAATATCATGCAACTATCTGTAGAAGAGGCCCTGCTAAATTTGAAACAGGTTCTCAAGGTTTTACCATCTCAGCCTATCAACGTAAATGTTTTGCAATTATGGAATTATTTAGATTATATCGTTCCTGATCTGTAATATATTTTTGGGATAAAATATAGGAGATGGGGGGGGGGGGGGAGATAAGGCGTTTATATCTAACCACTTTTGTTTCACATAATATATTCTAAAAGTCCTGAAAAAATCGATTTTATTTTACCCGAGATCTTCAGTGTTAAAAAAACATTTAGATCGGCTAGTGACCCGGTGCTGCTCTATTTTTCTGGACTCTAATGTCTATTTTATAATTAATTAAGCAGGTTAGGTGATTATTTTTTAACCATTGCTTTGCAATATTTTATATTCAATTCTTATTAAACTTTATATACCACTTTAGTTTATTAATATTATATTTTTTTTTACTATTAATATGACAGAGACTTCCTAACGTAAAATTTAAATACGTGGAAGAGGAATGGCCGGAAGTGTTTTTTGTTCCTTACACCTGGTCTTTGGTTTGCGCTCATTCGCACCTTTATTGGAGTTTGATGAATGTTAAACTATTTTACCCCAAAGATTACTACGCTTTATAAATATAACACAAAGAATTTGAAGACAATATTTATATTATATAGTATCATTTCTATATTATATTTGTTAGAAAATTTTGAATAAGTAATTATTATAGCTAATCATATTTTTAAATATATAAAAAAATCTATATTATTCTATGAATTTATATAAAATTTACATTTTTCGTCACCCATTTTTTAAAGGTTGATTATGACACTAAGCTAAGTAAATGTTTTAAAATTTAAAAACTTTCTTAGAGGAATTATAGGGTTTTTTTATCTTTAAAGATATAATATAATGTTTTTGTATATAAATTTTATATTTTTTTTTTATGCAACCAAAAATGGTATATGATTTTATTAAGTAAGTATGGATTATTTATTATATCGCGCGTTTTATACGAATACTATTTAATTGATATAATATATGGGTATACATGTATATTTTTTTTACAATAAAATTTTATTTACCTTAATATAACGATAATATAGGTTATATTATAATATATTATAAAGGCCATTTATGCTTATATTAATTGCGAATACATATAAAACATCGTATTTGCAACAAATTAATTATAGGTATTGCCATGAAAATTTTTTTTATTTAACCTATGCATGAAGATATACACAATATTTTATATATCGTACTCACTTGACTCTAAACCAATGTCAACGGAATTAGTGATAACTTATTAATAGGTACTGCCATGAGAATTTTCTTTTTTATTTAGCCTGCATGGAAATATACACAATTATTTGAATATTTAGGTTGAATTTATTTATTTGATAGACTAATTTAAGTCTTAGCGCGGATCTGTAATTTTAAAGATTTATAACTTCGAGAAAATGTTTTTTACCTGTTTTTATGTTTAGATCAACTGGGATATGTCATGAGGTGGGTGGAGTTCAAACTTTTAAACATAATATCTCAACATGAATATCAAATAAAAACTTAGTAAAAAAAAATATTTTCGCTTATTATACTCTAAATATTTAAGGCAAAGGTCTTATATAGAAATTTTTAAACCTTGAACTTATAATGAAAATTTCAAATATATCTTTTGTGTCTATAATAATTTACTACCCGATTCGTTTATCATTCTTAGAAATTTTTTGAAATCTAAGATTTTCAGCTTTAATTATGAATAATTAAATAGTCATAATTTTACTATTAATTTTATCTCCATTTTTGGTAAGATTTTTATAAAAAAGATTTATAATTATTGTAATTAAGTTTAAAAAATAATAACACCCCTTATCATTTTATGTGGACTTAGAAAGCTCGTACGTTAAAATATGAGTTAATTTATTGGTTGTGAACAAAATTTGAGATCAAACGCTATATAACTAATAAATAAGCCTTAAAATTAGGCTTGATATAATAATTCTTTAAGCAAACAAGATAAGACTGGACTATAATGAGAAGTTATAATTTAAACCTCTTGCAAAATTTGAAATCAACATAAATAATAACCAATATAATAGCAAATAAACTTACTTATAGGCATAATGATTTTTAAAAAAAAAATTTTTAAATAAAAATGCTAGATTTAATTATACATATTTTAAATGCGATATCACAAATAAGCCTCAAAATAGGCATTATAATATTTTAAAATGTAAACAACTCTTAATTATTAATAAAACTCGTTTAAAATTAGATCGGTTTGCAGGTTTCAATCGGTAGCGGCGTTTTTTTTAAAATTAGCTGCACATATGCAAAACGAAATTAATTTATAAATCATTGTATTCTTTTTTTTTAAAATTTATTTGGGCACTCTTAGTTCCTAGATTGTTAATATAATTTGGTTCTTATTTGACCTGCTCAGCCCGATACTGAACTGTAGTTTTTTTATTTGTCCCAAGCCCGTCCCAGTTAAAGATTATGTCCACCCCATCGGGTTTTATTTAAATATAAAAGAAATTTCAATTTTTTTTTATTGTAAAACAAATATCCCATTAATAAAAATTATTAGCACCTTGTTTCTTATAAGAATATTAAGATATATCTCAATTTGTTTCACAAATTTATTGATATCTTGATTAAAAATTTATGGGCCAGGCTCGGGCCGGGACATGATTTGCGGATCTCTAATTTATCCACATGTAAATTAACCTTATGTATTTCTCGTTTTCTTAAATAGATTAAGAAATTGACTTTTTTAGAGTCACATCACACATGACATCCGTAATATTCTATCTATTTATATTAAACCTAATTTATATTAAATTTAGAATGCAAACAAAATATAAAGTAATTTTAATAAATGGAATAATTTCATATATCATCAATGACAATGTCATTGCCAATGATATTATATCATTGGTCATTGCATATCACATAGTATATGTTGAATATGTTGATCGATGTTATTTTATTATTTATTTTGGCAATTGATTTATTTTTTATATATCAATTTGTATTTAAATTTGGTCAAAATTTTATAACATTTTTTTATACATCAATTTGTATTAGTTATTTTTTTTATTATTGTTTAAAAAAAAGATATATAAAGAGATAAAAAAATATATAATTGATCTAAAAAATAAAAATGTAATATATCATTGAAAAATAAAATGTAAATTATTATAAGGAAATAAAATAAAATTATAACCAATATTAAAATGTGATAAAATTATATATCAAATAAAAAACGTGGAAATATTTCAAATTAAACAATATATAATTTATATAACATTCATTTATTTATATAATGATGTTCTTTTATAAGGCAGAATATAAGATATTATAATAGATATTTTTACATTACAATATTATCAATCGATATTATACATACAAATATACACATTATAAAACATATCTAACTAACGAATATAATAATTCCTAATATATATATAATATCATATCATATATTCACATACATATATTTCCATTATCAATATTATCTATATATATGTATAAAATGCAATTATGCATATAATTTTTATATTACTACAATAAGAAATATAAAGAAATTAGAAATCAAATTTAGTTAAACTTTAATATCTGTAAATAAATATTATTTTGTCTAGATTGATAGGGAACAAGGTTCTTTTAGCATTGAATAATAGTCCAGTGATGTATTAAAATTATTTCGACATGTGTACTTGATGCAGTAGATAGTACTTTCCCAGATAAATTAATACTAGGAAGTTTTGGTCGCTTTTTTCCTCAATAGATTAGGGAATTTTGTTCTAATATAATATGTTGGCCAAATAAAATGTGGTTTTCTTGTTTTAAAATATTAATTTTATTTAATCGTTGCTTGCAAATAATTGTTTATTTGTTTTGTTAGATAAGAATCGAATGTTTTCTCATTATCTTCAACTAATCTCATTCTCTGCATTTCTGATGTTCCATAAGTTTTAAATATCTAATTATAAAATGTAAAAATGTGGAAGAATTTAAATTAAATATACTGAAACAGTTTTAAAATCTTGAATCATGGATTATGGCCAATAATATATTATAAATAAATTATTTGCAGTTCAGTAATTGTAAACTTATTGTCAATCCTTTTTTCTTTTCTTTTAGATAAAATAAATGATATTTGAGTGAGGTAATAGATTCATTTATTATATATTTGCTTAATATTTTACTATGAAATAATATGCTGAATTTAATTGTTTTAGGGGAAAAGGAATTCTACAAACTCTGAATGGATTTAGTAAATGCGTAGTTCGTCAACTATATCCCATTCGGTATTAAAAGGTTTTAAACATTATTTCCCTATGTAGCATATTATTGTATAACTCTTGTTGACACCACGAATACTTTCTTTTCTAATATAATTAATATGCTGTGCCAACGGATAGGCCATATTGATTTCTTTTTAAGGTTTTCATATCAAGTTTATTTGAAGCATTGTAATAAATACTATTATATACCAATGCAATTTATATTTTGTTAATTTTTATATTCAAATTTAAAAATAATAATCTAATATATAAATATTAAATAACATTTTAAAAATCTTACACGCCGCGCCGCCTACACAAATAAATCAATGATGATACAGACGGCGAAGCTCTAGTAATCGTTTTGCCTACGGAGAAAATTACAGGAGGTGATAGCGTGAGAAGATAACAACATGTCGAGCTTTAAGAGTTGTTATATATAATCACAGTAATTCTGCAATTTCGGTACATGTAACTTGAACTTAAAAGTATACCATTTGCATTTATAAAAACTGTAAACTGTAGGAATTAGCTCAGAATTAGAAGTATCTTTATTAAATCAAGTACTGGAAAATTCCAATAGCATAATTTTGAAAGTAAAAATTATATCCCAAATGGTTTAAAATAATATCATTTATATAGAATGTTCAATTATTTAACAAGAAGAAAGTTTATAAATTTTCTATTATATATACATTTAACGATAATTTAAATATTTTATTTATTGTCGAAAAACAATATAAAAACAGATAATATAAAATTAAATTGGTGCCAAAAGTATAGCAACTTTTCGATAAACCATAACGTTACATTGGTAATAGATATATCTTCAACAGAATTTAAGATTTTATTTTAAATAAGTTTGAATATTTTTGCTATTTTTTAGATAAATTATTATTATTAAAGAAACTAACACCAGATATTCGAATTCATTAATTATTAAAAAATTAAAAAGAAATATCATGAAAATCCTAAACTATTCCTAGAGGCGATATAAATTTTTAAATATTTATATCATATCATACTTTCTATTCTAAATATATGAATATTAATCAATGTTAATAGAAAATCCGGCGGCTTTACAGACATGGCTTGTTAAAATATTAGCAACATTGTAATATTATATATATATTTATGCTATTTATAATAAAACCAATTTGATCCTAATATTATTTAAAATATTTATATATTAATTTAGGAGTGAAGCTAATCCAGATGCCTTGTCAAAATATGTATTGGCTTTGATAAAAAAGGATAATAAAAGTGAATATGAACTTAAAAAAATATGCGTTGATCAATTGGATGTATTTTTACAAGATGGTAAGCTCATCATTAAATAATATTTCATTTTAAACCAATCTAAATGATTAAAATATGGTTATCAGGTTATTTTTACCTTGTAAGATAAAGTCAGTTAAGTTTATTAAATTTTTTTTGGTTTACAAAATTTGCATTATTAATACCCACAATTCTAATCCCACAAATTAATAATTTATATTATGTATTAAGTTTAAATTCGACAAATTTATTTAATTCTTAAAAATTAAATCAAAAATGCTAAATAAAATATTATAGATAGAATATATTCTAGGTTTTTTTTCAGATGAATATGTAATAATTGATTTTTAAATTTATAAATTAAAATATTTAAGAAACCGAAAACTTTGTTAACAAACTGTTTGAGGTCATCAAAACTAAAGGCTATAACATCCTCACTTCCAAAGGAACTGATAAAAATTCTTCATCTATATCCTTAATCTCCAAAACATCCAGCTCTAAAACTTTGGGAAAATCAACCTCCAATTTATTAAAAGATAACATCAACACATCATCAGTCTCTACTCACATTGATAAAAATAGGCGTAAAAGATATGAGTCAGCCTCCAGTAGTTCTGATTCGAGTAGTTCAGAAGATAATTCTAATAAACTTTCCAGCAACATCAAAGTACCCTCTAATAACAATAACTCATATCCCAACACAAATATAAGTAAAAGTGTAGACAAAAACAATTTCAACTTTAACAAAGAAAAAGTTAAAAGTAACAATCTCAAGAATTATGTCTCTGCTATTGAAAGAAATATTGCCAATGTCACAAAAATTAGCAGAGATAAAGAGAGGGACAAAGAAAAGGAAAGAGAAAAGATTAAAGAAAAAGATAAGGAAAAAGTAGTCAAGAAGTATGAATTTACCACTTTGTCAATCGATGAGAAACTAATACCACCATCTAGTATTGCTCCATCTAAACAAGCTCATTCCTCTCAACAAATAAGCCCCAAGGATGATAGAACAATTACCAAGAACCTGGAGGATAATAATTATATTGATAAGAGTGCTCCAGTTTACAATGAAGTAATTGATATAATCATAATTACTTTGAAAACCTCTGATATTCATATATATATTATTGATTTTATTGTTTTCTAAAATCCTTTAATATTTTTAGCCCTTAACCTTCCCAGCTAAAAATATTTTATTGGACAATATCCAAAAATTTATCATAGGGTACACTCAATTTACCTCACAATATTAATCTTAAATATATCATACCTGGAGCTAGTGTTGTTAAACGGCTCGATTTGAGCCGATTTTTAAAAATGGCTAACTCAATATTTTAGCCAGAAAATTATTGTCTAGGCCTCTAGATTTTGTCAATAGATGTTCAAACCTTTGTGCCACCTATGAGCAAAATCTTAAGGCTTGCATAATATTTTTCCTAATAAAATATTGAGTTAGCTGTAGGGTTGTGCCGACCACATACTATCCGATATTGGTTTAAAACCGATACAGATCAGATATTTATATTGATTTTTCACCACCCCCCTCTGAACCAAACGTAATTAAGAAATCAATATTTTTTATGCAAAAATTCGAATTATGCAATTAATTTAATTTTTTTATTTCTAAAATAATTTTAAAAAGTTTACGGATATTGGTAGTAGTGTTGTTAAACGGCTCATTTTAAGCCGATTTTTTAAACCGGCTAACTCAATATTTTAGCTAGAATAATAGTGCCCAAGTCTAGAGATTTCTATTATATATGTCTAGACCTTTGTTCCTTCTATGAGCAAATTCTTCAGGCTTGCACAATATTTTTCTGTATGAAGTATCAAGTTAGCCGTTTTTAAAAATTGGCTCAAAACGAGCCGTTTAACAACACTAATTGGTAGTATATAATAAATTTTTCATTATTCCTCCCCATGAAATTAGAATTCTGCAGATAACGGATTTTGCAAAATTATTTATGTCTTTTGTAAAATATTTCCATAATTCAGATAACATATTTTAAAAAATTTTTTATTTAAAATATAAATAATAAAATTGGCGTTATTTTGAAATAAATAATTGGGTGTTTCTTTCTATAAATCTATTTTAAAAAATAAGCAAAATTTTAGCTGTGTTGTGCATTTGCATTGTTTAAAAAGAAATTATTTAGAAAATATTATCATTGTAAAATTAATATACATAAAATAACAAGAAAAGAGAAGTAAAAAGATCGGATTAGATCGGGTTTTTACAGGTATCGGCCCGATCCGATATTTTTGGAAAACTCGAGATATCGGTGCCGATCCGATATTTAATATCGGCACAGCCATAGTTAGCCGTTATTAAAAATCGGCTCAAAATGAGCCATTTAACAACACTACCTGGAGCCTTTGTACCCTAAATATAAACAAGTTGGAGATCATAGTACTACCTAATCTTTTGAAACCTTTTTCTTATTTTTTGTAAATAAAATAAATTTTTCATTGTATACTAGTCATTTTTTTCATAATACTGTCAATAAAAAAAACATGTTTTAGGAACTGATAAATATAAACAAGTTGGAGATCATAGTACTACCTAATCTTTTGCAACCTTTTTCTTATTTTTTGTAAATAAATTTTTCATTGTATACTAGTCATTTTTTTCATAATACTGTCAATTAAAAAAAAACATGTTTTTGGAACTGCTAATTACATATTTCTCCTAATCCCATATAATTTTAATTTTGAATATATTTTACAAATTTTCTCTAATTCAAGGTCAAAACCAAGTCAAGTCTAACTATCCAAGTAAGACAATTTATATTGTGTAATTTGTCTCATCTTGATTTAAAAATTCACATTCAGTTTGAGTAAAATTAAACTGAATTTTTACAAATAAATCGTCTAAATGATTAAAAATCATTATTATACAACAATAGTTTGGAATTATTAGGAAAATTTTTTGTTATCACCTTGCCTAATCTACACTACTAGAGATGATGCACTTGATCCAATATTATACCTAAAAATTTTTCTATAATGCCTATCTTGATACTGATTTTTCCTAGATTTTTATAGGACATCTTATTTTATAATTTTAAAAAATTGAAGCTTGCCTTTGTTTTTTAGAGATAAACTCCTTAAAACTTCTTGTATATTAATGCCATATTTTAAAATTAAAAAAAAAAAATTTTCTCAGTCTTCATTACCACCAAAAAATTTTTTTAATTTTGAACCTATAATTAAGGTTGTTAAAAACCCAGAAAAGTCCCAATTAAGATTTTAGCCAAGGTAGATTTAGCTCATAGAAGCCATGAAGGTTTGGAACTCTATTTGGCAAAACTTGAGGCTTACATAATATTATTTTGGCTAATTTGGGTGGTTTTTTAAAATTAACACTAATCGGTCTTTTTAACAACCCTGCTTATAATGCAGTGAATTTTGATAAAGCATTATAGGTCTATAAATTATTTTCATGTATTGTGTACTCTTCACAGTTAAGGTAATAAATTAATTCACAACAAAATTTAAATATTGAGAAGACATATGAAATGAGGCTTTCTTTTAGTTATTAATATCAGTTTTATAGTTATTATTTTAAAAAAGTAAAATATTAGGCTTTCATGTAATTATATTACCCATCATTCATAATTACAATTCATGGCAAATTTTATTTAATACGCTCTATTTTTGTATTCTATGCTGCAAATTCGCATTAGCAACTCTGAATAAGGCCTGCATTCAGAGTTAGGACGAATTTGGGCGGAGCATACAAAATGTGCTGTGTTTTTATATATACACTTCTTATCTGTTTAGAAATTTTTAGCTCAATGTTTTTTGCTAAATTTATGGCTTAACAGGACATCTTTTTTATAAAGAGTGGCTATTTATTAATTTGGACATCAGCAAAATTTAAAAATATTTGGGAACAAAACCCACCATTATGGAATAGCGAGATCCGAGTTCCAAACACTTTAAAGAATCCAATAAAAATATTTAAACAATAAATCAATACACCAAAATGTATCAGTATGCCACGCCACTCCCACTGATTAACTTTTAAGACATTTCATGGCACCATCGATTTTAAGTGGTTTATATAAATATCTTTAAATGGAACACAAAAAACTTGTGTAAAAATATTTATAATAAATTAAATCTTATACTGGAATCAATATAATTTATATTTCTTACAATGTTCGCTAGTTAAAAATGACGTACTATCATTTTGGAATTACAGAACTAGAATTATCTAATTCATATTTGCTAGGAAGATACTTTCCATCACAGTTGCCAGCATCTAGAATGGACATACTCGGTTGATATTGAACTCAAAAAGGTCTTCATTATCCCCAGATAACTTGAATAAAATTTTATTTACACTTGATAACTATGATGATATATATTCTCATATAAATTTATAAATTCAATTTGTATATTTAAATTTTCATTCCTCTCAAACATCAATATCAATCCACTGACACAGCAGAAACAAAAAAGATCAATAAATCCAAAAAATTTAACAATTTACTATTTATTCCTATGGTAACTTCCACAAATGTCCATTATTTGCCATTCACCTATAAGTTTGTAAAAATCCTGTATTACAAACAATGGCAAAGAATTTATATATATACATCTGAGATCTAACCTGCCCCTGATTTTTTTAAAAAAAATTTGGCCTGGCTCGGTTTTTATATTTTTTGAACCGGCCCATGTATTATTTTTTAAAAATTTTTAGGCCTAACATGGCCCAGGCATATTTTAAGTACGGCCGACCCGTGTGCCCGGCCTAGGCCTTCATTCAAAAAATTTAAATAGAAAATTTTAAATCTAATTATGGTTCCTTTTTGGGAACAAAATTATGATAGTGCAATTTTATTTTAATAGTGTTTTAATTTTATATAGTAAATAAATTTATATTTGTGTAAAATGTTTCTCTTTTTTTTTATAGATAATGTGAAAATTCAATCTTCTTATCACTCATTGCTTAATTTGATGATTCAATATGTATTTTATTTTGATTTTTTTGCTAAATTTTATAAATATTATAATATACAAACAAATTTACACTCTTTATCATTTATGTTGTTTTATTGGTATTCGGTGTGCTGCTGGCCACCGGTAAAAAAATGCACAGGCGCTGCCAAAGATGAATAATTCATAGGCGCACAGATCTAATCTCGCAATATTTTAAGCAATATATTATAGGGATTTTTTTTTACTCGGACTCTTGTTAGAACTAGTTTCTGAACTGGTTTCCAAACATTTTTTAAAGTCTGATAGTAATTTCCAGATTTGGTCAGGTTTTGAATTTTTCCCAAACTCCGAATTTCTTTAAAATGTTGTTATAGGCATCGATTCTAAGTAACTTATCTATTCATTTATCTTTATTCCTTAATCGTCGAACAAAGCGAAACGCTTCTAAAGATCTACCTTCATCTCAACTTCCTCAAACTCCTCCCAAAAAAACTTTGATCAAAAGCCATGACGTTGGCCCGGAAAATAAAATCAACAAAACTATTATAATACCCGTATCTACATCCGCCTCAAGCCTGGTCCCCACCGCGGCGGGCTCTTGTAGAGATTATAACGAGAAAGGGTTTTGCATGAAGGGCGATCAATGTCCTTACGGGCACGGGAAGGATGCCGTAGTTTTGACCGACGTCAAATCTGTTTTCCCGTTTGCCAGTGGTAAGTTTACAAACCTTTATCCTTATTAAGATAGCTCTAATTTTCCAATAAAATTGTATAATTGATTATTACCTTTCATCTATTATTTTATCCTAAAATCCTTACTCCGTAGAATCATTACCATCCCACCCTCCGCCCATGCATCCATCTTCTTTTCTCTCCTCTCTCCCGCCTCCCTCATTTCCTTCCTTACCGCCACCGCTATTTCCGCCTCCTCACTTCCCGCCCCCTCATTCCAGCCGCGCCCCTCTTTTACCGCCCCCGCAACTTCCCATGACTCACCATCTCTCCTATCCTTGTACGACGAACGTTATGCTGAGCGAATACAATCCGGAGGAACCCGGGCTGGCTCGAAAAGCCGAAATTGTCGGTATCGATGAGGAAGATGTAGACTTGGACCACGCCCTCGAGGATGTTCCCGATAATTTTCAAGTAAACATTGGAGGGCCCATTGGGGGCTTCGACTATGGACGATTGGGAGGAGATTTCCAAGACGAGTAAAATATTCCTTCTACATATTTATTCCCACATTAGAAAATCTACTTTAATTTTTTTTTTTAAAGATTGATGGGTAAAAATTTTCTTATTACTCTCAATAAACTTTACGAATCGCGAAAAATGGGGATGATATGTAATATATTCTCGAATATCTCTAAAATAGTATTATTAATAGATATTAGGTTAGGGAAGGTGATACTTATATTTCAATTGTTTTTTATTGAACCATTAAGTGATTTTCTTAAATATTTCTGGATCCTAACATCTAGCACCATTATTTTTAGAGATTTTCGATAATATATAAAGAATCTATCATTTTAGCTATTTCGAACCACCACATATTTTGAACTACCATTTTTATCTTTTTTAAAAGATTATAAAATAAATAAAATATTGGTTTCGAAACATGGTTGCTGACTCGATTTTTCGAAAAATTTCAGTTGACACACTTCCGATTCTGGTGACCTACTCCTCGAAAATATCTAAAATAATATTTACAGATGTTATGGAATAGTTTTCACTTGATTTCCCAAAATAATTAAGATTTTTGTATTTTTTTTACCAAATGTTTTTTATTGGCTGGTCCGAAATTTTGAAAAGGTTTTTGAAGCTGATAATTAGGCAAATTCATGTTGTTTTTCATCATAAAATAAATTATTATGGGCTGGGTTGGATAACTCGTATAAAAATATATTTCATAGGCAGGACTGGGTGTAAAAATGATCAGAGACTTACGGGCCGGGTACATGGGCCGGGCCGTATTTTAATTTTTTTAAAATAACCCCAGGCCGGGCCTAAAAAAATTGTGTAAAATAATTATGGACTAGGCTGAGAGCTAGGAAATTTTTACTCGGTTTGGGACTTAACCACTCCAACCTCTATGAACATTGCCTTCTTTTACGTCTGTCAATATTAGATTTTTGAGGATGTTATATATAAAAAAATATATTCCTAATTGTTTGAACCATTAATGTTTTCGCTAATTATAAACGGGAAAATTGTCATATTATTTAATTATTATGTACAATATATATTTTCATACACATTGAAACAGTAGCACGCTGACTTACACTAACAATTTCAATCATCACACCAATCGCAAAAGGTTAATTAATTCCATCAAAAATAAGTACAACAACGTTATCATCAACACGAGATCCAATCCCTCGTTATTCAAAAATCAGAATCCTCAAAATCAGGTTGGCAATAAAAATAACAAAACTCTCGAGCTCAAGAAAATACCTGTGGAGATGAATAGTATTAGTCAACTGAACGGTTACTTCCAAAGATTCGGCCAATTAGTCAATATTCAAGTGTGTAAACATTTCTTTCTTAAATAAATGAATGAATTTGAGAAAGTTACACGGGGAAAATAGGGTGCGTTAAATCGTGAGATTGTAAATGAATAAGGGTGAAAAAACATGTCATCTAATTCCCTGCCATTGTAAAAGGGAAGAATTTGCTGTTTAGATGGACTTAGTGTAGTTAAACGGCTCGTTTTGAATAGATTTTTAAAAACGGCTAACTCAATAATTTGGCCTGAAAAATATTGCTTAGGCCTCGAGATTTTGATAATATATGTCTAGACCTTTGGTCCTTCTATGAACAAAATCTTCAGGGTTGCGTAATATTTTTCTGGATAAAATATTTAGTTAGCCGTTTTTAAAAATCGGCTCAAAACGAGCTATTTAACAGCACTAGATGGACTAACAGTATAGATGTTAGAAACGGACTAATATGGAAACTCAATAAATGGACAATGAAATCAGAAAAGTCATATTAAAATACTCTATGATTAAAAGTTTAAAACAAAAATTTATTTTTCTACAAACTTTGGTCTTTTTTTTTTGAAACTGGAAAGTTTCGAGACGATGAGACGATCCTAATTTTAATTATCGTTTTTGTATATCCCACTACCCAGGTCAACCACGATGACGACCCCAGAGCTGCTCTAGTGACCTTTAGCTCCAACGCGGAAGCTTATAAGGCTTACAAATGCCAGGAACCTATATTCAATAATCGTTTCATCAAGATGTTTTGGCACAACCCATCCAAAGTGGAATCCGACAATGTTAATAAGGTATATATGTATAATGTATATGCATGCCATGCAACTAAATCCTTCCACAAATCAATTTGGTCTGTCCAAAGTTGCATTGGAGATCGATTATAAAACTTGTAAAATTAGAATAATTCCTAATGAGATCCTCGGCAGAATATATGAGATGTTAAAAATCACTTGATTCGAAGTATTTATAGATAAAAATAGAAAAGAGGGTCAAATCTTGAATATTATACTATTTTTAAAAGAACATCATTTTTTACATTTATTTTGCAAAGTAACAAGTAATATACTTTATTTCTAAACACAAACGTTTTACTTTAATATAAAGGAAAATTAATAATTTGATTTAATCTAATGCTCGTTTCGCAATTTTTATTTTCGAACATTTTACAAAGTTCTTCCTTCAAATTTTACCCAGAATTTATATTGTAAAATATATTTTTAAAAAAAATGAAGAAAAAACATTTAGCTATAAAAATAATCATTAAAGCTTTTATAGGAGAAAAGTAAATGCGTGTTTTTAAAAATTTATCATTATGAGTACGTTCTGGTTCTACTTGATGGGATACGGCCTAAATATTTGTATTAATAATTTTCATTACAAAATTAGTTTGATCGATCAGAATCGAACGAGTTAGGCTTTAATGATCCACTAGAAACGGAGTTGAGAGAAGATGCTAACCCACGCATTGACTCCCAAAAAATAGCAAGAATTAAAAAGTTTTCTTCCGATACCTCCCATTTCAATAATCATTTCAAAAAGATCAAACTCAGCCAACACAATATCCCTCCGCCTCAACATGCGACCGATCAGATGACGGGAGATTGGTTTGATAAAAATGAAGAGGTAATTTTGTTTGCCATTGCTTAAATTTTTTTTTAAACCTTTGAAGATAACTATAAAATAAGAGATAAATAAATTACCCATTAGAATTATTGAACACGCCCACATTAAATTGATTCTAATGTTTTCCAGATTTTTCTTTATCGACATTTTCAGATTAGTTTTTATTCGCTGACCCCTAAAACCTTCCTTTAACCCCCTTTTTTAAACTTTCGAAAATAAGGCACATACCCCGATCTCCATTACCCCTGCTACAAATGACACGATGGACCCCCAATCTCTGAGGTTGGACAAACGCATTGACCTAACCCGCACTCGTTACTCTCTCCTGTTGAAACGGATCGAAAATCAGAGGGCCCTAATAGAGAAAATGAGCCTCAAACCTGCCCTCTTTTCCGGTTCTGTTCGGGATACGGCCATCGAGACCATGAAAGAACTCGAGCAAAGCGTGGGTAAGCTCAAGAGGGAACTGGACGATTATTACGGGTTCGAATAATATTGTTTTGTGTCTAAGCTGAATCTTTAAATTTTGGGATTCTATTTGAGCCGTTATAATTAGCGCCATGATCGCATCGAATACTAGTGATTGACGTGGGAGATTGTGATGTATTCGTCGCTATGAATACTCTCCTAATTCCCATATCCGCTGATGGGAGGAGTGAAATAGATAGGGTTGACTAACCCTCCTCGCATAATTTATCACATTTTTTTTAAAAAAAAATATTTGGCCATTTTTTGTTCAAATTTTAAAAATAAGAATAAATGTCTCGCAACTTATTAATTTTTGAAATGACTTTTTTAATGTTTATTTTTAAAAAAAATATATATACAATTTAGCTCTTCTAATGGTATTAACGTTAATCCCGCCACTGGTGCTCATGGGATGAGTCTGATTGGCAACACTATAAAAGAAAATATTATTAAAATGGTTTGATTTATTTTAGATAAGAAAAAAACACCTCATCATGTAGTAATTATAATTCTTAATTCAAAGGACAAACTTTTTTTAAAAAAATCCATAATTGGAGGTGTAAATATTTTTTACTGACAAATATTTTTTAAAAAAAGGTAATTAATTTTTTTTTAAGTTTAATATTTACTGACGAATTCAAATTATCGTAATTTTATATTAAATTTTTTTTTGAAAAAAATTTGTTTTATTTTCTATTTACCGCCCACAAATGATGTATATCTTTCCGATGTCAATTACATTTTATTCATTCTTATATTTACCCCATCATTCACAAAACTATTATCTATCAAATTTAAAAAAAATTTTATAGACCAAAAAGCAAATTCTAGATGCCGAGCTCGAATTGATCACCAGGGCCCCGAAAGAGCTTCTTTCTAATGCTACTAACAACCTGGCATTCGCCCCTTCTCCCGTCAACAAAGAAACCAATTCCTCCTTCAATACGAGTAAGTTTATATCCACTATAACTAGAATAGTTGTTAGGCCAAGTTGCTTATACCAGAGCGTTCTAGCTTTTTAGAAATTAGGCGTTTTTGATAAATCATTTATAAAAAATATAATATTTGAAAGTTTCATATAAAAAAAAAGATCTTGTCATTTTTAAGTAAAATTTGATCACAAATTTTCAAACTCTGATTAGAAATTGTAAATGTATAGTTATATAAATTATACAGAGTATACAGTAAATAGATTATGTACTGTGTTGTTAGACGATTTGATTTTACCCAATATTTTGCCCTAAAAAATATTGCAGCAAGCACTCGAGATTTCCTTAATAGATGTCCGCACCTTTTTGTCATTTATGACCATTCAAGTTTGCGTTTTTTTTGAAAAAAAAAATATTTATTTTAAATTTAGGCAGTTAAGGTCGCATTTAAAGTTAGGTACGATTCGTTTAAGCGACACTAAATTTTTCGCTGCATAATTTACTTAATCAAGCCAAATAAGGTATAATTTATCAATACTGAGCGAAATGATGAAATCGCTACAGCTGTTTACGTATATCAAAAATTATTATCGCTATGACGAATCAGTTGTGATGATTTAGCAATTATATCCCATCGCTTGAGCGTATGCTATAAATACAGCGTAAAACAGCAAAAAAAATTGACATGTTTTTATTTCAGCTTTGAAAGAGAATAAGTTATTATTAAAAATTATCTCAAACTATTTTGCGTTTTTTTTAAATATGTTAAAACGCAAAAGCGTTTACCAATTTTCACCATTTCATTTAAAATACATTATTTTAAGAACAAGATACAAACGCTTAGATTTGGTACAACTTATTTTAAAAATAAAATCAGAAGGGTTATTTTCTTGATCAAATTTTACTTTATAAAATGTCATAATCTGATTTTAAAAAATCTATTATAAGCAGGAACGGGCCGGGAACTGAAATTTGAGTAAATTTATGGAACGCATTCCGGACCCTGAATGTTCCTAAAAATGTATTTAAATTTCTTATTTATTTATATAATTTTAAAAAATAAAAAATTTTTTATCCCCATCTTACAGTTGCATATTTTAAATTCTTTATAGTTTTATTTTTAATAATATTAAAGAATTATTGATCATATTATACTGTTACATCAAATATTGTTTTAATTTTAAAAAATCACGCTAACATATGAAACCTATATTATGTTAAAATAAACTACTACAAAAAAAGCCGAAATTCAAGATATCAAGTTACTAATCCAAAGGTTGAACCGTAAAAAGGCCGCCCTTCTCAATTCTTCCAACCCTATCCGATTGGGCAAGAGCAGAATTATCAACAAGTTACCGTCGGCTTACAAGAAAGATGTAAATACCAGTTCAAACGGAAGTCTAGCGGTGCCCAGGATGCGTACCGGATTATCTCATGTTAGTTCCGTTGCTTGTTTCTCTTGAGATTTTTTGTCGTGATTTATTGATTTCACGTATTTTTTTAATCCTTGTTTTTGTCACATGATATAGTTAGTATGTTATTTGATTGGTAAGGGCTCAGAAAATCAAGAACATAAGGCGTAGTTTATTATTTTTTTGTATTTTTTTTAAAAAAAAATTGGTTTTTGAGAATGTTTAAATTAGGGTTGTCAGGATGGTATAAAAAAATCTTGTGAATTGTAAGTTATGTACCCATATTCGATGTTTCATCTTTTTTAAATATCGGTTATTGGCCGATATTATAAAATATCCGATAAAATGGTGTCTTAATTTTTAAAAATTTATCTAAAATTTTGTTTTTATTGCTTATTATTTAAATAGATTAATGTTATTATATAAAAAGTGATTTATCGATAAAAATATTTTGTATAAGAATTATGAATATAAAATATAAGTGATCATTATAATATGTTTAAATAACTTAGGTTATGGTTTTAGTTAAATTATGATGTTGGTAATATGAGATGAGTAGAAGTATGCATTAAAAATTAAAACGATTAGTATGTTTACAGACGATTACAATTTAATATCGGATCGGCTTCCAAAAAGTAGTATATGTTTTGGTGCACACATAATTATAAAATATACACATTTTTTAAAAAAATGGTTAAGTTTAGATCTATTTATAATTTTTACATCTCATTATACCTAATGGTTCTTTATTTTTTTTAGATATATTTTACATCATTAAAATAAGTGTTGAAAATATGGTTTTTTCTCTAAATAACAATTAATAATATTTACTTTCTTTGAAGGCTGTCGATAGGAGACCCAAATCTTTGCTCCTTGCTTTACACCCATCCCATCCCAATCAGCCAATTAACGCCGAAGATGAAAAGTGGCTAGTGTTCGGGGAAAAGCTGAAAGAATATTTGGGCTTTAAATTATTGCCAGCTCAGACCTTCGAAAGAATCGAATCACTGGAAGAGGGAAAAGGGCTTAATTTTCGGCTTGAATTTGAAAATAGGAAAGAAGCCGAGAGGGTATGGAATTCATATGTCACGTATTTATTTAATTGTCATGGTGATATTCACAATATCGGGTTTTATTAAATTGGCCCGATTTTTTTAGCAAGTCTTTAAAACTGAAAACATCCGTTTTAAATATTTAAAAAATGGGTACCGAACCGTATCTCAGCATTTTAGATAATTTTGTCAAGAACTATTGAACTACAAGATTTTCCAGCGGACCAAGCATCGTTGGAAATATTTTTACGGAGTTGGGGCTCGGTCAAAAATTATGAAAATATTTTTTTAAGCTAATAATTTATTAATTTATGTTTCCTCGGTCAAAGCCAAAATAAAACCCCATATAAAATTTCTACGGGCTAGACCACTCCCACCTTTAGTTAGGACCATAGGACAAAATTTTCACTGGACCGAGGATTGAACCAGTTTATTAAAAAGAAGTTAATTATTAAATCCTTGTTGGCTTTTTAATTTGAAAATTGGTTTGCCTAGATTTAGAGTCATTATTTACTAATTATAACCATGTATTTATTAACTTTATATATGAATGACATATGTCGGTTTTACAATAATTTGAAAGATTTTATTGAAACAGGCACATCACAAGTTTAAAACAAAAAAACGATTGCCGTTTAAATAATTTATTATTGAAAATTTCATTTTAGTTTATTGATTTAAATCATTGCCCTAAATAGAAAATTTATAGATATTTAAATTATCTTGGGAATCTATTATTTTCTCTTAGCGATTAAGTTTGCTATCTGAACCTTGAGAAATAATTACGAGTGTTTCAATAAGCATTTAGGAAATCATAATCTCAATATTATATTGTTTCACGTACTTATAAAGTTACTTAATTTTTATTTATAACGATTTTATTATAGAAAATTTCATTTTTGAATATGAAAATAAAAATTAATTCTTTTAATTTATCGCCCTAAGAAAAAATAAACAGTTTTTTTTAGATATATTTAAATGATTTTAGATCTGAGCATTTTAATTTTAATATCTTGAGATTCAGTCTAAGCTTTAACTAATAATTGCGGGCGTTTCGATATTTATTCAGAGCATTTCTGTATTTATACTTAGCTGTTAAGTAGAACTAAAAATCATATTCATAATATATTGTATCGCAAAAAAAAAAGGTTAAATTTTATCATTTATATTTACTCTATATTTATTACAGTTCATGTCCATGGCAAGTTCGAGTAGCCTCACCTTCGAAGGTTTTAATATGCGCTTTACTTGGCAATCATCATCCACCAATAATGCTACAACAATGCCAGCTAATAGTTCTATTCAAATTTTAAAAAATTTCCCTTCAAACCCGCAAATCGATAACGCGTCCCAAATAATCCCTTCCTAAAAATGAAAATTGTCTTTTTCTTTAGTGTATATTTTTAATATGATTATATTTATAAAGATATCACTATATTTTAATAAGTAACTATCATTTTAAAAAAAATGTTTATTAGATCCTTTTTTTTAAAAAAAAATCAAATTTAGAAACTTATTAAGGGTGGGATGTTTAATTATATGTTTTAATTTCTTCTTTCCCCTTGAACTTTCACATGTTTTTCAGAAAGTATTAATTGTTTTTAGAAATATGTTTTACTCTAACAATTACTATCATGATATTGCCAGTTGATTAGCTAATTATATTGCAAACCACCAATGACCATAAATCTTTACCCCCCCCCCTTCTCTCAACACAATGACAATTATTATTATACATAATATGAGATAAGTTATACATTATTATTTTTCAAATAAGTTATCAATTGTTCTATTTCTTAATTATAAAAATTTTTAGTCTCTGTATTTTATGTTTATATTTTTACCAAAATAATAATAAATTTCACAACCTATCATTTTAAAACAAAAAAAGAAATAATATTTACCATATTTTGTATTTCTTAAATTTTATTTTTGTTGGCTATCAAATTAATTATGTTGTTTTATAAAACTACATGTTTTTTTATATATTAAAATATAGAAGATTTAAAAAAAATGATTATTTTATATATATATATATGAAAAAGAAGGAAAGAAAGCGACAAAAGAGGCAAAGTAAATTAATAAAATAATTTTGGGTGTATATAAATATTTTATATATTATTCAAATGTATTCTCCATTTAATCATTTGTGTCTGTTTATTTTAATTAGAATCATAGTTTGGAACTTTTACTTAGAAAGGGTTTTATCTATTGATATATAATTTTATGAGTTAATTAAGTTAGAGGTCTACAAAGCCAGACCCACTATAATCAATTTTTATTTCGACTCCGGTCGGGAAATAAATTTTTTCCTATGGGTTTTGCAGATTTCCACATTTTACGTTGTTCTGAAGGTTCCGGTTTCAAACTCTGTTGAGGTACAATATTAATAATGATTTCTTGCGACAGGTTTTACCTTTTTTGAACTACTTTATCAAAATATTTTTTTCTATAATTTTGGCAATTTAAACAATTCTATAAGAACGTCAAGCATAAAAAAAATTTTTCGCAGCATATAGAGTAATGTCTCTAATATGTTATCCTATATATTTCTGTTAAAATTTATGTATTATATAAATATACTATTCAAATAATTTTATACTAAATTAAATTCAATTTTTTGCTATACCCACCCATAACATCATCCAAATTTTAAATATATATTTGAATTTATTAATATAAATAAATTAATGTTAAAATTTTTCTAAATTTGTATTAAATATTAGGGAACTAACTATAATTTAAGATGGAAAGAGTCAGAAATATATCTCATTTTTCAATACCACTGCTAAACGGGCAAAGGTTTTGTTATACAAAATAAAATTTACTCAAGACGGAACGAATTCTAAATAACCTCAACCATTATAAATATTATATTAATTATTTGTGATAAATTATGTTATTATTTTTCGAAACTTTCCAAAGCTTTTATCGTATTACTTCCCGTATAAATATCTATCCATTTTAAAATACAGATGATAACGCCACTTCCAGAGAAAAGTTTTTTGTGTAATGATACCCGCAATTTATTTTATTTATTTCCAAACAAAAGATAATAATTTGACCAATTATATTTTTCTATAAGATAATATTTTTTTCGAATCCCATTTCAGACGCTATTTAATTATAAATAAAAACAAACTGGTTTGATTTTTATTAACGATTAAATGACTGAAAATTTCTTTTATAAAAATTTTATATTATAAAACTAGAACTTTTCATCTATTGTTTGGAATAAATAGAAAATATTTGGTAATATTATCCAAAAACCGCTTTGAAAATACATTCTGTCTGGAAATGGCATTTTGTAATATCATTTCTTCACAAAAAAATTTCATAAATGATTGATATCCATCATTTATTTTATTTTTATCAAGTTTTAAATTTCGATATAGAAGCTACAAATTTTTTAAATCAAAATTGAAAATGCCTGTGAATTCTGAAGTTATAATATTCTATTTTATAATAATTTAAAAATATTACCTTTATAGGAAGTGCAAAAGCATTCAGTTCACACACTTATATTTCGTTCATTAAAGAGAACTCATGATATGTTTGTTTATCATCAATCTAAAACTCCTCCAGATCATTATGATCCGTAAATAATTCATTTTTTTTACTTCTCAAATATTTTTTTACATTAGTTACCTCTTTAAAATGGATATAAAGGCGAAATCAGATTATAGTGATATAGTTGAAATTGCCTTAGAAGATAAAATCAGTAGAAATAGTGATCAACAAGGTAATTCTATATGTTCATGCTAATTAATAGTATACATATTTTTATAGATCAAATAATTCCATTGCCACCAAGGTATAGTGATAATAAGTTGTTTAATTTGATTATAATATTGTTTAGCATTGATTCTACTCTTGAAATTGAATCAAAGAGCCTTGTACCTCTGGATTCCAAAATTAATATAAATCAAAGCAATGCAATTGTTTCTAATAATACAAAGAATACTTCAATAAATCCCATGCTTAGAGCACCAATATCTATCAAACCTGTTTGGCACCCTCCTTGGAAATTATATAGGGTTATTAGTGGGCATTTTGGATGGGTTAGATGTGTTGATGTTGAACCAGGAAATGAGTGGTTTGCCACTGGAGCTTCAGATAGGATAATAAAAGTTAACAAATTGATAATCAGCTGTTTTTTAATAATTTTTGAATTGTTTAAATGCAGGCATATAGTCAAGAATTTACTTGGGAAGAGGGCTATTTTTTATAAAAAAAATCTAAATTCCATTTTGAAGTTATTACAAAAAATTAGTGAGTTTATTAGGACTATAGGACTAGTAGCTAAAAAAACTAAATAATTTGTAATTAATAATACCCAAATAATTATTGTGTTAATCTACATTTGAATTTATTATATATTAGAAATTAAACCATATTTTCTTATAAACATTTTAAATTCTCAAGAAAATCAAATTTTTTTCAGCACATATTTATTTTATATTGATTCATAAATGACCATTTCAGTTTATTCCAAAAATAGCAAAAATTTTTCCATTTCATAGTTATATGTCAGTTGTATGCAATTAATCATTTATAACAAAATTTTTATATATAAAATTATATTTTTAATTTATAGTGAGATTTATTTATACATTTTTTTCAAATCAAGCAATTTCTATTCATTTTATATTATATAAAAATTTATTGGCTTCTCCATTTTTGCTCACAGATTGTCATCAACACCACAAACAAACAAAACACAGACTATCATTAAGATATTTGGTAAGACCATGCTACTACTAAGATATTTGAAGAAAATCCCCCATTTTGCCTTTCAAATTTAAAACTGGGTGTAGTGAACAATGTAATGACTGACGTCTACCACGCTAATGAATTTAATTAATCAAATTATTTTCACTCTTTAAACTAAAGTTCCTTTAAAAATCTACTGGATTTTGAAAACTATAACTGTCATTCTCAAATTATAAATTAGTAATATTGATTTAATCGAAAATTTATATAATATTAATAATTTAAGTTAGCGAAAATTTCTGAATTCTTCATCTAAAAAGTAGTATTGGCTTTGCTTTGTGCATCTTTATTTGCATTTTTGTTTTTGTAATTTATCGCTTGGGATCCAAGTTCCAATTTTTTGCTTACTTAAATTATTAATATTATATAAATTTTCAATTGAATGAATATTACTAATTTATATATAATATATAGTCGATTTGAGAATGACAGTTATTGTTTAAGGACCAGTAGATTTTTAAAGGAACTTTGGTTTATAAAGTGAAAAAAATGTGTTAGAATAAATTCATTTGTGTAGTTGATGTCATGTCAGTTGTTATGTTGTTCGATCAACCAAATTTTGAATTTGAAAAGGGGAAATTTTCTTCAAATATCTTTGTAGGTGTTGTCTTCTAGGCAAACGTCTAAATGATAGTTTGTGTTCTGTTTGTTGTTGGCGGTGATGACGATCTATGCAATAATTTTTTTTTGTAATATAAAAAGAAAGAATAAAAATTTCTTGATATAAAAAAAATGAATAAATAAATATAAGCTAAAATCTCATTAAAAAAATTATCCACTCTTAGTATATTATTTCTTATAATATAATTTAATTTCCATTATTAAATGATCATAAACGTTAAAAAAAATATTCTTATTTGAAGTGATCTTTTTCAACCATTCTGCTCTCTAACTTTGTATAAGTGATTACTTGATAGTGGGGTTTTTTTAATTAATATTATCTGCATTCCCGCAAAACTCCCACATTTAATTTACAGCATTTTAACGTTTATAAATAATAATTTTGAAAAACAATTAATAAAGATCCTTTGTTTCTGTTTAAAATTTATTTATTTTTTGAATATATTGTCTCTTATCAGATCCAAAATTTTTACTTGTATAATAAATTAAGTAACTTCTTTATATAAAATAAAATTAATTTAATTTAAAATATTATCTTTTTGGAAACATAATAAATAAAAATACTGAATTTTTAAGTACGATAAAGCAGAAATTATATAGGAATAAATAGGGAAGGTCAATATGGCATTTTCATTAACCCAACCAAAAGATCTGTCATAAAAATTCACAATTTGAAAATTTTGATCTGACAACTTTTGGGAGTGTTGGGAAAATGAATTTGTTCTCCCCCACCCCACATCTAAGTGTCTGCTCAAAAGTTTTAAATTATAAGTACAAACCATATAAAATTATATTTTTTATTTTTTAAGTTATAGATATCTTAAAAAAATGGTGAATTATGGCTATCAAATTAATTTAAAAAATAAATTAGATATGGGACTTGGCTACTGGAACCCTTAAACTTTCATTAACTGGGCATGTGTCTGGTGTTAGAGGAGTTGTAATATCACCACGTCAACCCTATTTATTTTCCTGCGGGGAAGATAAACAAGTCAAATGTTGGGATCTTGAATACAATAAAGTAATTTTAACTCATAAGTTATTACACATAAATAATTATCCAATGTTCATTATTATTAATATACACTTAGAATTAATTTTTGTTTATTACTGAATAATTATATTTGAATAATAAAATATTTATTTTTAGGTGATAAGGCATTATCATGGTCATTTAAGTGCTGTATATTGTTTATCGTTGCACCCAACAATAGACGTTCTGGTAAGTGGTGGAAGAGATTCGGTTGTTAGGGTAATTTATACAGAATAAACTATAAATGTGATTTAAATTTTTATTTTTAATGTCAAATATATATTATATATATAACTTTAAAATTATTAAAAAGTTATATAGAAGTGAAATTACCAGAAAATGGCATTAAAGTTGCGCCTTAACTCTTAAGTTTATATAACACACTCTATTTATAAATTTGAAAAAGTTAGTTTTCATATATATATCATTTTAAACTAATAATAAATTTTCTTTGTTTCCTCCTCACCTCTCATCAAATAAGTACAATAGAATTCAAATGCCAGACTATAAAAAAAATTACAAATAATTTTTGACAAAATTTATCAGTTTAAAACTCTTTAATTTATTCAATAACCATTTTAGCCTTAATATTTGATTAGTAACCTTTAATCCTAATGACGGCCTTGATTCCTATATACAATACTACTCATCAAATCGCATTTATTTTTGGAGTCCATATTTCCATAAAAATAAAGGCTCAGCCATTTTTTATTAAATATTTGGCTGAAATCTTAATTTAAAATAGGCGCTATATCGAACCGTTTCACGACAACTAGCATATTTCTATAACAATAAAATAATATAGTGTTAAACTTTTGTTATTTACTATATAATTTTTTTAAAATATGAAAAAAACATAAATAATAGGTATGGGATATGAGAACCAAAGCTTGCATCCATATTTTGACTGGCCACTCAAACACAGTAGGAACCTTATTTACGCAAGGCACTGATCCCCAGGTTTTAGTTCAATTTAAAATATAATAATTTTTAGGCACTTTTAAAGATTTTTAAACATTTCTTTCATTTTTATATTAATAAAATAATATATATTTAAATTAATACCTTTTAAAAATAATATATTTAATATGAAATCAATTATTTATATTGATTTTAAATATTTTTAAACATTTCTTTCATTTTTAAATTAATAAAATAATATGTATTTGCATTAATATTATAAATTTAAATTAATATCTTTAAGAATAATACATTTAATATGAAGTCAATTATTCATATTTATTATAAATATTTTTTTGGGGGTATCTTAAGCATATGGATTGTTTAATAATATTAATTACTACCAACGATATATTTTATTAAGTTATTAAAATATTTATGATTTATAATTAAGGGTTGATAACCGAATCAAAAATTTTACCAATGAACTCTTTTTTAAGGTTCAAGAATTGATTTTCAATATTAAAGATATTTTTTCACGGATTCCTATGTTGAAAATTATTTTCTATTTATTTCACTTTTAACATCATTGACGGCCATTATAGATTTGTAGAAAATTTTTTATCTCCGTTGAACGAAATTTTAACCAATTAAAAAAAGAACCCCCCTCCCCCCTTTCCTTAATTAACTAACTTGCCGAAATTTTAATGAGATGCAGTTTTAAATTGAAAATATCCAACCAATCAACTTTCACCCTTTTTTTTAAACAATAACTTTTCTAATAGATTTTATAATATTTATAGAAAAGATCCATAAAATAATTAACATGATATTATGAAATAGGTTTTGATAAAAATATGGCCTGACAATCTTCATATTAAAATTTAAATAAAAAGACGATTTTGAACAATTCGAATTTGATTATTTTTTTAAAGTAAATAATAGCGTATCATTTTGTGAATATTTTTAACTAATTGTGGTGTATAAATATTTATGAACCCATCATTTTTTTATTATAAGCCAAACTTCGACGATCCTCAAAATCCTGTACTGTACCCTATCCAATATCCGGTTTCATTTAAAAATGCTAATTTTTTTTAAAAAAAAACAATATATAGATAATATCCGGGAGTCACGATAGTACAATAAGATTATGGGATATCTCTTCGGGCAGAAGCATTTCCACTCTCACTCATCACAAAAAAAGCGTTAGAGCCCTAGCACCCCATCCTAGAATGTAACGAATACAATCGAATTTTTTAAAACTAGCATAAGTTACCCACTCTTTTTTAGACTACCCCTGATTTGTTTCAAGAATTAGTTACCAAAAAATTCTGATCACTCTGTAGGTCTCCTAATGTAACATTATTTATACATCTAAATTCATAGATATTTAATCTAGGTTTTCATTTAAAAAATATTGAAATTTCTAAAAACAGTTCATGTTCCTTGTTCGTTCGAAACTTATTTTCATGTTAGACTAGCCTATTTAGATTTTGAAATAGAACACTCTAGTTTTGTTTTTATCTGTCTAAGGGAAACTATATAGTCGATTAAACCGATTTCTGTTTAGAAATAATACAAGTCCCTTTTTTTAAGAATAATATAGATTTTTCAATTTTAATAATAAAAAAACGAACAAAAGGTACATGTTCGCCTCTGGTTCTCCTGACAACATAAAGCAATGGTCCCTTCCCAAAGGCGATTTTATGCAAAACATGAGTGGCCACAATTCCATCGTCAACACGATCTCAATTAACGAAGACAATGTTTTAGTTTCAGGAGGTTTAATTTAAAATTTTCTTTAAATATAAATTAGGCCTAATCTAAACCGATTATGAATCGAATAGTGCATTATTCGTATTCAATTTACTTAGGTATAAATTTTATTTTAGTCAGTAAATTAATTCCAACTAGTAAAAACCATTTCACAATCACAAGTTGTTGATGTATCTTGCTGGTTATTATTCGCAGTGGCAAATGATTACATTTTTATTTAAATAACATATCAATAATTATTCCGAATATTTAAATAATTGTTTATTCTAATTTATATTCCTTACTATTCTATTCGTTTTTGAATAGGCTTCTATAGTAAATTATTAACATCCAATTTACCTAACCTAACTGAAAAATATTTTTAGAAAAAATAAAAATCTCTCATTTTTAAATCACGTTTTAATTACTAAAATTTTATAGATTAAATACACCATTTATTTCGAATAAAAAAAATTTCTAAACATTTTTCTACCTAAATCTTTTAGATTTTAACATTCAAATGTTTCACATATCCTGGAGACCAAATTTCATTAATGACAAAACATTCATTTTTTTCCGAACTTTAATATACAAATTAGAACTTTTTGCATGGCCTTTTCTAATTCTAAGCTTCTCCTGCCCGCTTTTTTACAATAAATGAGGATTTTGGTTTCGTGATTATTTTCTAATAAAACTCCTCACTTATTTTTTAACTACTTTCACATTTGAAAATATTATTTTGCCTCGCAAATATGAAGGAGATAATGGAAGTTTATTATTCTGGGATTGGAAATCGGGGCATTGCTTTCAACGCATGAAAGTCCCCGTACAACCTGGCTCCATCGAGAGCGAATCGGCTATTTTTGCCTCAAAATTCGATATTTCCGCCACCCGTCTCATAACTTGTGACGCGGATAAGACAATCAAAATGTACAAAGAGGACGATGAAGCGGTTATTATTTAGATTTATCTATTATATTAATATTTTTTGTTTTTAGATAAATGATTTTAAAAATATAAAGATGTAAGAAAGTTAAGGAAGATGGGGAGGATAAGAGGCATAAAAATAAATACAGATATGTTTACCCTTTTTAGTTAATAGCTCTAAAATAATATAACAAAATGGGAAAGTGTTTATAAAAAAATGGAGTTTGGTGTTATAAGTTACAAATATACGTTCGTATCCTGAAGTAACGAGTCATTAAAATATTTTTTTTCTTCCTGTATAGCAACTTTATGAGTCGTGGATTTCCTTGAATCTGTCTCTTCTTATAATTATTTTTAAAAGGTTAAAGTTATTACGTGTATAAATGTAATTTATTTCTAGCAATTTATTTATTTTGTATATGTATCAGTCATTTTCATGATGGAAAACTTATAAATTTAATGTTTCAAAAAAATATTTAAACAGACCGAAGAAACTCATCCTCTCATTTGGAAGCCAGAATTGTTAAAGCGCAAGCGTTACTAAATCAGACAATTATAATCATATATTTTATAAAATTTAATATATTATTTATTTTTATAATATTTTGTTTAGCAATTATATCATCTCTGTATATTGTATTAAATTATGTTCACCTAAAGGTACAAAACATATAAAAAGGTATTTTATGGGGTTTTTTTTTATTTCTATTTAAATTTTACTATTGTGAAGATACAAAAACTATTTAATGCAAGAGAATTATATTTTTTTATAATAGATATTACAATTCCAGATATTGGTTGGAATTGGTTTAAGGTTTTTTTTACATGATGTCATATCCGCATTACTCCAAAAAGCCTTAACCGAAAATTTCGGCATATCTTCCAGCTTTTAACTACAAAAGAATACACTGCTTTATTTTGGCCTGTATCTTTTTGCAACATTATCATGTCAATCAAAATAGTTTAATGTAAAATCTATCAAAATATAAAATTTCATTACATCAGAATCTTTTGTGATTTTAGTTTTCAGGCTCGCATTTTTTTTTAAAAAAAAATTTAGATTCCAAAAATTATCTCGTCAAGGCTAAGACTTTTTTTTTCTTTAAAAAAACAATTTATTTATATTTAATTAAATATCATTAAAGTTAAGGTATATGCTATCCTGAATTATAAAAAATGAATTAAAACGGATGCCAGCTGACGAAGGCATAATATATTAACAGAATGCAGTGGACTTGAAAATAAATAAATAAGCATTTAAATACAAAAATATAATTCTATAAAAATTTAGTATACCATTTAATAAAAATTGGCGATATTTTTGAAAATTATAGAATTTTTTCAAAAATGGTTTTGGACATAGTCTTAAGAGTTTTTCATTAGCTTAATTAATTTTTTGACTTTTTAGGACATAGTCTGAAATGAAAGTAAAAAAATAAATGATAATGTTTATTATACTACTAAAACAGTAGATAAAAAAATAATTTATAAGTTGAAATCTTTTTGTCAAAAAATCAAAGTTTGATGTTTCATGAATGACCGCTAAATAAAAACTAACGCTCTAAAATAACTTGTAATTATGAGTATATGATAGAGATATGGTGATTGATGTTGGAGAGTGCTGTGTATTTGTTAAAATGAATAATGTTTTTTTTATTATTATGTTAGAAGGAAAAAAAAGAGATGATAATTAATTAAAAGGTTTTTGAAATTAAATAAAAGAATTATATTTTTATACGAAAGTTTTTAGATTTAATTGTAAATTAAATAAAAAAAATTATATTTTTTATACGAAAGTTTTGAATTTATTTTAAATTGAATAAAAAATTATTGTTTTGGTACGAAGAATTATTCTATGGGAATTCTGCCCGTGGAACCATAAATTCCACATTTCATTCTAACTAAAATATATAATAATAACGAAAACTCTTGATAAAATCAGAGTTTGATTTTTTTAAAAATATAAAGTATTCCTACCATTATTTCTAGAATGAAAAGAACAGCTATATTGGGATCAAAGAATTGCTCCACATAGGCTCTAACGAGATTTTGGAAAGGGGATGAATAAACGAAGGTCGTTATCACTCCTGGGTACCAGGTATTCGGTTTTGTGGTGGCTTCAATCATAATATAGCCGATCTTATCATCTAAATTAAAAAAAATTTTAATTACAACTACCTGTTTGATTCAACTATCAAACATTTTAAAAGATAAATAATTCAGGTAGAGATCTGCAAAGTTAGGTCCGGGCCGCACTCGGGCCTAATTCTATTTAAAATAATTGGGTTCGGGCCGGGCCGGGTCTAATATTTTTAAAAAATTTAAACCGGATCGGGTCGGATCTTGGAAATTTTTTTTAAATATATCTAAATTTATCAATTTTATATTAAATTTTTTATGTAAAATAAAAATAAATAATTTTATTTATTGAAACTAAACTCATATAACATATGTCTTTTACTTTGAGTAATTATAAAAATTAATTTCTATATTTAAATAAATTCGGGCCAGGCCGGGTCAGTAAATTTTTTTAAAAAAATTATGGGTTCGGGCCGGGCCGGCAAAACTTTTTTAAAGAATTTCGAGCCGGGCCGGGCTTGAAAAATTAGGACCGATGAAGATCACTAAATTCAGGGTTTCAAAATTCACAGACGTTCGGTTAGTACATTTAAAACACGGTTCAAACCTTTTCCCTTATAAACCTATAATATGTAATGAGAAAACACATTATTTCTTTATTGAGCTGATTAAATTATTTTAGATTTTCCTCTCACATAAATTAAGTGGCTGCTGGTACTGTTAAATATCAAAAAAATAATTATGATACGTATCATTTCAAAATTGATTATTGATCTTTATAAGAGTTGGGATATCAAAAGGTCAACACGGCATTTTTCGAGGATTGTTTCAGTTCAGGGGAACAATTTTTAACGATTCGGTTTATGGTTCTAATTTTTAAAAAATCAAATAATTCGAATCGAATATATTGTTTGAAGGGAATATGGTGAAGTCCATCCCTTTTCGAAAAATCTAAACGAACCTCATCCCTTATTCAAGAACTAAGGTAGAGCCTATGTCGGGAAGAGGCGACGATTTGTAAAAATGTCCATTATGGGCTCGAAATATTAAAAAAAAAATGTTTTAATTCGTCAAATTTTTGTTAATTGTATAAAAAAAAAGGTTTTAATTTGAATTTTGTATAGGAAATCTTATTTTGGCGGTCACCTTTCTTTTAGTATTAGGTAAACAATTTTTAAATACTTTACTGGCAGGACGGGCTATACTTATTAAAGATTAACATATCTTAATATTGCATATTTTGTAATATTATGAGGCCTGCTATTTTTAAAACTCGATTTCAGGGGTAGGGTAAATTTTTTGGTGGGTTATCTTTTATATTTTGAGATGAAATAGGACAAAATATATTGCTACAAAAATTAATACTTTTATTATAGATCTATTATCCCTTTCGTGCCCAGCGAGATCATTGTCATCAAAATTTTTAATCAATTAATTTTTATATTTAAAAAAACTAATGGTTGGTACTTAGAGATATTAATTTATAAAACAATATTTATTATTTTGTATTTTATCATTTGTCAAAATCATTATTTTATTATATCAAAATGTCAAAATCATTATTTTATTATATCAAAGTACAAGTATTTTTTGTACATGGGAAATATTCCGGGCGCGAAAGGGTACAATAATATGGCTGATCAACGACCAAATTTATATATTGCAAACAATCATAGACATGATTTACCAAATAACTTTATTTCTCCTAACCTTTCATATGTAATTTAAAAAGTTTAAACATTCTCAGCAAGCTCATATGCTATTATAATAATGCATTCATTGTAAATTAGGGGGTTTTTAATTGAATTCATTATCTAAAAAATAGATCCTTTATATTCACAAAATTTTCATATTTGTACATGGGAAATATTCCGGGCGCGAAAGGGTACAATAATATGGCTGATCAACGACCAAATTTATATATTGCAAACAATCATAGACATGATTTACCAAATAACTTTATTTCTCCTAACCTTTCATATGTAATTTAAAAAGTTTAAACATTCTCAGCAAGCTCATAATGCTATTATAATAATGCATTCATTGTAAATTAGGGGGTATTTAATTGAATTCATTATCTAAAAAATAGCTCCTTTATATTCACAAAATTTTCATAGTTGGTAGTAGAAATAATATAAGTTAAGCTATTCCTTTTAAAATTTCTGAAAGGAGTATCATTATAATTAAAAAGGATTAATAGCGAAAATATTTTTAGGATGGCAGGGTTTGTGAGGGGGTTTGCATCCAATGATAATCCTGCTATATGCCACCATTTTAGTTTTAAAATTTAATAATCATGCTTTATTATCACGAAAACCTATAGGGAGAACCCTTAGATCCTGCTTAATTTGACTTAACATAAGTCCGATTTATTTCTTAACTCTTGGTATTTAGAAGGTGGAATTTATCTAGCATCCCCAAAATAATTGTTGACTTGTACCATACTTACACACAGGTTTTTCCCTAAACCGCTCCATATGTTAGATTTGTTCACCCTCGCATTCCCCCTCCCCTCTTTTCCCTCACCCATTCAAGTCTGCCCATAAATGATTTTACCCACCTACTTCTACAGAAAAGGGGGGGGGGGGGTATTAACACCTTTTGAACTGACTCATTCAACAATAGTGTTATTTAAAAGGCATATTTTGGGTCAATTTTTAAAAGAGTCCTATTAAAGTCAAAATAAAATTATGTAAGCCTTTAGATTTAGGAAATAGATGGCTAATGCTTTCTGCCATCTCTGAGCAAAATCTCCAGAATAATATTAGTTAAGTTGTTATCTTAATTGGGATATTTTTTTAAAAATCGGCCCGAATTGATTTTTAACAAGACCTCAACAATCTAAACCCTTATTAAGAATTATTTTTTAAAATATATTTATATTATAACGGTAAATAAAAATTAAAAACTTAATATATACATAGTGAGATAAGCCTGTATTATATTATATTCAATTACTAAAATAACTGATAGAGCTTTTCACCTTGTGCAAATAAATTTGACAATTCAATGGTGTCATAACTGTAAGAATAATGCAATTAATTTTAGCATGTGAGTCGGTTTCTTATTTAATATTTTTAAAAAAAATATTTTTTTTCTTATTATTAAGGCTGTGTCCAAAGTATCAAAAAAATTTAATCGCGCAATTTGCGCAAATCTAGCGAAAAAAAAAATATAAGCCATTTAATGGAAAATTAAAATGTTGACCTAAATGATTTTTTCAAATTTCTATAAATACCAAAAAAGGCCAAAATTTTAATTTTCCATTAAAAATGGCTTATATTTTTTTTTTCGCTAGATTTGCGCAAATTGTGCGATTAAATTTTTTTGATACTTTGGACACAGCCTAAATAATTTTAAAAAAATATCAAAAATTTTAATTAAAAAAAGATTACGACACCTGGGATTCCCAGGCGGTCACCCATCCAAGTACTAACCAGGCTCAACGTTGCTTAACTTCGGTGTTCGAAAGGGAACCGGTGCTTTCAACGTGATATGGTCGTAATCGAAATTTAGATGTTATAATTGCTTATAAAACATATCATTTTAATTAATGGCTTTATATAATTAAATTTAAAATATTAATTTTATAGATGTTGAAGA